CACCCTGCGCTGCCACCCCTCTGCTGGCTCTGAGAGCCAGGCAGGGGCCCAGCTCCCCCCTTCCTGCACCCCCGCCAGGTGTAGGATTTTGTCAGTCCTGAGTCCCAGGGCTCTTTTTTTTTTTGTACTGGGGAATTGAATTCAGGACCTTGTGCTTGCAAGGCAGGCGCGATATCACTGAGCTAAATCCCTGGCCCTTTAGGGCTCCTTGTTGATGCCCACAGAAGTGCCTGAACTGAGACAGGGCTCGGACTTCTAGGGTCTGTTGCTTAGGAAGACACAGAACCGCACAAAATTTGTAAATCCTTTCAGGTGGGCGTGCATTTCTGTCAGCAGCGCATTGTCTTTGTGCATGTGGGAAGTAGCTGTCCTCCAGGGCAGGGCTGCCAGCCCCTCCTCCCAAGCTCAGAACCCGTCCTAGAGCCAAGTGTGAGGCCATGCTGGCCCTTGCCGCCGGGCTGTCTGCTCTGGGCCAGGCTCACAGGTGCCCTGGGACGTGGTCTGGTAACCCGTTTGGAGGTTTAGTATGCTTCCCAGCCTCCCACCTGAGAGCTGCAAGGCTGAGGCAGGGCGGCCTGTTTGCTGTCTGTCTTTAACCTCCTAGTCGGGAACCCCAGGAAGCATCCCCTCTAATTGAGCTGATCATTCAGAATCCATTGAGGCTCTTCCAGGGTGTGGTGTTCCCGCAGAGTTTTTGGGGTTGCCTAGGGACCTCCGAGACATGGCCCTTCTGGCAGAGGAGAGGCATGGGTGGCCTGGTGCAGGAGGCCTCTGGCGCAGGTGCTGTGGGGGGCAGAGTGGGCGGGGTGAGGGCCACTTGCCTTGAGCCGCACCTTGGGTACCTCCCACAACAGCCCAGCCCAGGCTCCTGACAGCCACCAAGGAGTCCAAGCCTCAGTGGGCTCATGTCACCAGGCAGTCCCTAGGGACCTGTCTCCTTTTTGTACAGACCAGAGGAGGAAGCACGGGAGACCCTGGTGACTTCTGGTAGGGTCAGTCAGGCTCTCTACAGCCTGAGTCCCCGGAGCTGCAGGGGAGCTTCAAGCCTTTGGCTTGGTGGGAGCAACTCCCCAGGAGGGAGCAGGGCCCTGGTTCTGGGGTGGAAGGTCTACGCCTTAGGCAGGGGCGTTCCCACCCCTCCTCTCCTCCCCTGGGAACAGCCTGGCCCTCTTTGGGAGCTGAGGCCGTGCCTGTGCCATACCTGTGTGAGGGGAGATGGGAGGGAGGACGCCTGGCTTGGGGTCACCACACAGGTGCCCTGGACGCCACAGCCTCTTGCTGCTGGGCAGAGCAGAGACCTGCTGGGCAACCCCTTGGAAGGCACAAGCCTCTGCTCGGTGTGTGCTGCCCCCAGTGGAGCCCTGGGCAGGGCGGTGCAGTTGAGGGCTTCCTGAGCTTGCTGTGCATTTGGGGTGTAGGCTGTCAGGGGTGGTTGGAGCTCCAGTAAAGGCGACTGGGACTCACTGGGGGCTGGGGTGTGTGAGTTCTACATGGCACTGTGTGGGGAAGGTGGCAGGGGCTGTGACACGCAGGGGGTGCCTGGGCCAGAGGCAGGTTGGCCTTGGGGGTCCAGAGTGAGTGTTCGCAGGAGAGTTGGGGGGACTGGTCTGCAGCCACCTGCCTGCTGCCTGGCCAGCCTTGAGGGTCTAGCAGGAGGGCGCATTGCAGTGCAGGGCCAGGCTGGCCCCCAGCAGGATCTCTTGGTCCCGAGGCCTGCGTGGTCAGGTGTCTGTGACCGAGGTGGCGGGAGTGTCTTTGGCCTTCTGCAGCCTGAGATGCCTCAGGTGTGTGCCCTGCTCTCCTTAGCTTGTTGCACTTCCTAGGTGAGTTTCCCAGGCACATTTTTGGCCATTCTTTCTTAAATGATTCTGTCTTACCCCGAGATGACTGCAGCCTCCCTCCTGCCTGTGGACTTGGGTTTGGTCTGTACATCTTAGTGGACCACAGCCAAAGGACAGAACTGCTTTTGACACCCAGCCACCCCCGTGCAGCTCCCACTGGCCATGTGGGCGAACAGGGAGGGAGAAGGTGCACCTTCCCCAGACAAAGCAGCCTGCTCTGAGAACTGGGAAGGTCCAAGCCCAGGGACAGCTCTGCACTTGCCTGATGAGATCCCCTACCCAGCAGGGCTGGGAGGTGAGCCCCTAGCACCATCACCTGCGCAGGTGGCACCGTGTGGCAGTGGACATTGACAGTCCTGCCTCCCTCCAGAAGCTCTGTGGACGGGCTCGGTGCAACTACTGACGCTGCCGGCAGCCCGGCCTGCTTCCAGGGCGTCTTTGTGCGTTACATACAGTCTGTTTTGATCACTGTGTTTTCAGTAACTGTTTTTAAAGACGGGCAGGCAGGTGGTTTGTCAGATTTGCCCTGAAATGCACGTAGCTTCCGGACAAAGTGGGTGCCTGAGATAGCTGCCTCTGGTGGAAGGGATGTGGCTGGCTAGAGTGGACACTGTCCCTCCCGGCACATTGGGCTGACTTCCTCCACTGTTATTCTCCCGTCTGTACGTGTTTTTAAAGATCTTCCTAAAACAATTCCTGCAGTCATTCTGAACCACCTTTTTTCCCTCTGAAGTAGAGCTCTCCAGAAAAGTACAGTACTAAGAATCTTGAAGCTGCCCCCTAACCCTTTAAAAAAAGTTTCATTTTGGAAACTAGGCAGGCTGGTGGCCTCCTCTGGGCTGGAGAGAGGCAACCCAGGGCCTGGGACATGTGCACAGTCTCTGTGGGCTGGGGCCACACAGGAAAGGGCTGCAGCCCGGGTGAGCCTGGAGCCTCCATTTTCTGACAGCACCTGAACCCTTACCTCCCTTTTCAAAATGAAGGCTGTGTGTCACAAACCGGTTAGAACTGCCCGTTGCCATGGTTTTCACGTTGGAAGGCACAGTTAAAGGGTCACATGATCACAGAGGGAAATGCCTTTGTCACATGACTTTTTGGTGGCCTGATTAGCATACAGGAAGTTCACTCCCTGCTGGCTGCTGGGATGCTGAGTGATCATTGATGGGTGGTGACATCATCTCTTGGATGAGTTATTGATCAGTCTCAGGCCAGCCTGGGGCAGGGAGCAACGAGGTCAGGGTGGCCCTCTCAGGAAACTTCAGCACAAGACGTCTCTCTGTCCACGCCCTGCCCTCTTCCCCCAGGCAGATAGATCCCAGTTTCATTAGGCGTCCCAACCTCAGTAAGATCCAGAGAGCAGAGCCAGAACTCCTGGTGGGTCCTCGAGCTGTCTGCTTGCCCAGGAGCCACCTGAGTGGTGATCAGCGGCTGCGGCCCGGTGCTAGGCCTGTGGGTGCCCTGCCCATGAGTTGCTTGGCACCTGCTGCATCCAGAGTGCCTGAAACTGGAGCTGCCAGGTCACCTTGAAAGTTGATATTGGGCGGCATGGGGCCATCAGTGAAGAGACACAGATCTGCCGGTGGCGTGGTGATCCCCGAGTGGGATGTCTGGGTGACGTTATAAATTCCCTGTGGACTCAGCACCGCTCCTTCCTGTCCTCTCCCCTGGCCCTGGGACCGTGCAGTTGGTGGCTGTACTAGGTTAGTTAAGTCCAATCAGGGCCAGGAGGAGCGCTCTGTCGGGTGAAATGAGCAAGGGCGTTGGTAGAGTCACGTCTGCAGGTCCAGGAGGGTGGCGGTGGGCCTGTGGTCCCCTACCCCCTTGCGCAGGGACAGGGGCTTCTGTGTGCTGTGAAATGGAGCCGGGCCTAGTGACTGTCCTCACTCTGCTGCCGCTGCCGCGTAGTGGAAAAAGCAGGGACAACTTAGAGCTGTGACTTCCAGCTAACTTCCTCCAAGTTTGTCCTATGGGTCGCAGTGCCACCTAGTGGACACATTCTGTCTTTGGTTGCTTTTCCTTACCCCAAAAAGAAGGATCCCGTTTCTTCAGTAGGAGTGCTCAGTGAGAGCCCTCAGGGAAGGTGCGCAGTGTGTCAGCAGACGGGGCTGCGTGGCTGGGGCCAGAAGCCCACCAGCACCACACTGGCACCCTGTGTCACAGAGGCAGCAGAGTAGGGCCAGCCCGGCCTGCACCCTGGGGGAGCGCCAGTGTGTCTGTCCTGGCATGTGCTTTGCCAGAAGGGGAACCTAGTGTCAGCCTTGCCCATTTGGGTCAGTGGTGTGTGCACAGTTTGCACAGAATGGATACTCACTCTTGTTGGAGTCTGAGAAATGATGGCACACTTAGACCTTTGGGACCATGTCCTGACAGAAGTGAACAAAAAGCCACAGGGGCTTCCCGGTTACTGCCCAGCCCATCCTGAGTGCTGTGGGCCATCAGTGGCCTGGAGGCAAGTGGGCTCACAGTTATCACCAAGGATTTGCAGAAGGATTCGGGCCGCAGTGATGAGAGGGGCTCTGGTGACAGGCTGGGTGGGGTAGCAGGCAAGGTCGCCCTGGCACCCACAGGGCAGGGCAGCCCCCACAGTGTTCTGAGCAGGTCAGGTAGGTGGAGAGTGCCCAGGCATGCAGCGATCTCCTAGGTTTCAAACATCACCACTGCTGCCTTGTGTGTCCCGCCTACAAGATGCTGACCCTGGCGTGCACACAGGCCTTCATCCTCCTGCCGTCGGCAGGCCTGGGCTGAGCAGAGCAGAAAGGTTTGTCTTGGGGGGCCGGCTCCCCGCCAGGTGGTGTCCACCACAGGTAGGCCGCAGCCTCTGGTTTGGGGCTGTGTGCATCCCCTCACACCTAGGAGGAGGGAGCGCTGACAATGGCCTACAGCTAGGCCAGGGCCCTAGGACTGGAGTGGGCCGAGTTCAACCAGTACCATGACATGTGGCAGAGGAGGAAGGTATGGGACCCTCCAGAGGGTCCAGCTGTGTCTGTGTGACAGGAGGTTTGGGGGCCTTGTGCTGATTGTGGTGAGGGACAGCCTGGCCACATGGGTATGAGTGAGCCCGTGCAGGGCATGCCCCCCACTTCCTGAACGCCCAGCACCAGCACAGTTCCCACAGTCAGACGCCTGGCTCTGCTAACCAACCGCTGTCTCTGCCCCCAGCGACATGAAGTCCGAGAGGAGGCCTCCCTCCCCCGACGTAATCGTGCTCTCCGACAATGAGCAACCCTCCAGCCCTCGGGTGAACGGGCTGAGCAAGGTGGCCTTGAAGGAGACCAGCACGGAAGCCCTCATGGTGAGCCTCGCGTGGGAGGCCTGCGCTGTGACCGAGTCCCTGCCCAGCGCGCTGCCCCAACCCTTGTGTCTTGTCCTCGCAGAAGAGTAGTCCCGAAGAACGGGAAAGGATGATCAAGCAACTGAAAGAAGAGTTACGATTAGAAGAAGCAAAACTCGTTCTGTTGAAAAAGCTGCGGCAGAGTCAGATACAAAAGGAAGCCACTGCCCAGAAGGTGCGTGCTGCCCTTCGCAGCCTATGCGGTGCTGGTGGAAAGGCTGGTGGAGGGCGAGGTTCCTTCATGAGGGCAGGTGGAGGGCAGGGCTGAGTGTGGGCATGGGTCCACCCAGCCAGGGGGACAGCGGAGTGTGTTTCCGTGTGGAATGCTGGGACTCTGGAGGAGGTCAGAGAGCACCCTGTCTCACGCCGAAGGTGTCCAGGAAGCCAGCTGGTGTCTGCTGCTGCTGGAAGCATGCTTGCAGTTTTTCTTGAGTCCCTGTCCGAAAGCCCTCCTGCCTGGCAGGTGGCTGTGCCTGCTACAGGCTGTTTGCCTGGCATCTTCACCCCCTGTGCCATATGCCTGCCCCTCAGATCCTAGGTCTGAGCCCTAGGAGGAGCCCTGCTCCCGGCCCTTCCTCTTAGAACCTGAGTCCCTGTTCTGCTACTTTTGTGCAGTCCAGCATGTGGCTCCAGTTGACTGGTTTTGGGCTTTTCTAGTGCCTGCTCTGGCAGGGCTCCTGGCTATGGATGCAGCTGATCTTCCTTGTTCTTCTGTCTGCATGCAGTCTCAGTACACAGGAAGTCAGCACACCTTGGGCAGGGAGACCCCTACCCCCACCCAGTTAGCAAGTGGGTTGGGCAGAGGCTGCTGAGGACTTTGTTTCCTTATCTTGATGCCGGAGGCCTGGGTGACTTGGACCACCTGTCACTGTCTCTTCCTGGAGGAATGTGTGACTTAAACTATTCTGATGGGCTGGGGGTACAGCTCTGTAGTAGAGCACCTGGTTAGCGTGCGTGAGGCTCTGTGTCCTGTTGCCAGCACTGAAAACAGAAGCGAGTGTGCAGGCCCAGGCTTTGTCTCAGGTGTTGCCATCGCTGGGCATCCTGCCCCCTGTGGGGCAGAGCTGGTGCCTGGGTCGGGGATGCCGAGGGTGGGGTTTGCTAGAGAACCTCTCCTTGGCCCCTGTACAATGGGCCAACTGCTGCCATGGAGGGGGCAGGTGCCAGACCAGTGGCAGAACCTTTGGGAGCCTGGTGTGCTCGGAGAGGAAGAAGTGAGGCCTCCGCTGTCAGAAGCCCTGCCGGGGACCTCACGCCTGCATGTCTCCCTCTCTCAGCCTGCGGGCTCTGCCGGAAGTGCTGTAACCACGCCGCCCCCACTGGTGCGGGGCACCCAGAACCTTCCTGCTGGCAAGACATCACTTCAGGTCAGTGTCCCCTCTGTGCTGGCCCTGCCAGAAGAGCAGGCCACGGTGTGATGGCAGAGAGAGGGAGGCTCCCCAGTGCACCCTCAGCAAGATCGGAGCAGCGCTGAGGCTGTGCAGGCAGGCTCGTACCCTCTGGCCGCCCTGACCTGGACACCGCACTCCCTGCCGGGCTGGTGCCTAGGGGCCTCGTGCTGCCACATGGTCCTAACTGGCTCCCCAGTGAGCCCAGGTTTCCGTCGCTCTTAGTGGTGTCTGCGATTAGAATAAATACACATTTTATGCAGTTGGTTTTAAACTAGTAATTTACTTTTCTAAAATCAAAAAAACAAAAAGCCAGGTAAACGCGGGCCTTGTGTCGTTGACAGACCTCCTCCGCCCGAATGCCTGGCAGCGTCATTCCACCGCCCCTGGTCCGTGGTGGGCAGCAGGTGTCCTCCAAGCTGGGGCCACAGGGCAGTGCGCAGGTTGTCATGCCCCCGCTCGTCAGGGGGGCCCAGGTAAGCAGGCCAGGCCATGGCCTTGTCCCTGGGCTCTTGAGGAGGGCGGTGCCACCATGCCTGGTGTCTCCATGGCCGTCTCAGCTGGGTTTCTCTCCCCCTCCCACCCCACAGCAGATCCACAACATCAGACAACATTCCAGCACTGGGCCCCCGCCGCTCCTCCTGGCGCCCCGCGCCTCCGTGCCCAGTGTGCAGATTCAGGGACAGAGAATCATCCAGCAGGGACTCATCCGTGTCGCCAACGTCCCCAGCGCCAGTCTGCTTGTCAACATCCCACAGGTGAGGGGCCGTGTCGAGGTGGGTGCCTGGGCTCTCCCAGGCCCGGTTGACCTGTAAGGGCACTGTGGTGTCTGGAGAGCAGTTACCAGCCTGCCTGAGTCTTGGAAGTCTCTGGGCGGTGGGACTTGAGCTCCTTGGCTGGGGCCTTGGGGCCACATGGCAAAGATGGGGAGCTGCTGTGCCACTGAGGGAGCAGCTGTGGAGCTCAGGCTGAGTGCTGGGGACATCGCAGGTGAGGGGAGCCAAGGCCTGGAGATGTCAAAAGGGCAGGGAGGTGTCTGCAGAGGTGCCCACAGTGCTGGCACGGCTGTGCTTAGCCACCCTTCCTCCTCCTCTGCCAGAGCCTTGGAGGCGGGAGGGTCTGTCCCCACCCTCCGGGGCTCGGACTGAGGACTGGGCAGGCTGGAAGCAGGAGCCCTGCCTGATAGATGGTTACTGGGTCTGTGGGGCCTTTTGCTGATGTGTGTGTTCCTGTGCTCTACCTATTTGGGTTTTTTTTTTGGTACCGGGGATCGAACTCGGGTCCTTACACTTGTGCAGCAGGAGGTGAAACCACTGAGCTAAATCCCTGCCCCCGCTCTACCTTCTTTGGTGAGGTTCTCATCACCTCCTTCCTCTGACAAGAGAAAGTGCCGGGCTCTCTGGGCAGCATTTCCCCTCTGCCTTTGTTAACTCGAGCTTGAGTGCAGAGGTGACGGCCAGTCCTGGCTCTTGCACGGGGTGGCCTGGGCAAAAAAAGCTCTGTGCGGTCTGTGCTGCTCGATGGGCAGAGGCAGCAGTGGAGACCCTGTGCCAGCTGGTCCGGGGGCGTGCGTCTGGCTGCCCAGGGGAGTGGCAGCTCAGTACAGGCCGTCCGTTCCCATTTCTGTATTCCCGGGTGTGCCCCTTCCCCAGGGTTAGTGTGCTCGGCTCTCCCACATTTCCAGCAGGGCCTTCAACCCTGGAAGCTAAGGATGCTGGTGTGACCAGCTCAGGTATGGGCTAGAGACCATCGTGGGTCAGCACTGGGATCCGGAGGACAGAGAAGTAGTGCAGGAGCAGCAGGATGGGGAGCGGAGGGGATGGGCAGGGTGGGTCCCAGAGCTGCTTCCCCCATCCTGACACTCAGGCGCCCCAGGTGAGCCCCAGCAAGGGTGCTGTGGGGCGAGGCATTGGGCTTCCTGCACAGGAGGGCAGGCTTGAGCACAATGTGCTGATGTTGCCCAGCGCCGGGAGCATGTACACCGTCTGCCGGCTCCTGGGGTGCATCCCCTGCCTGCCTGGGGCCCACTGACTCCTTGCACCTGTTGAGTGTCGGGCAGCTCAAACTTGCCTCATTTTTTTCTTTGTTTTTTGTGGCGTTGGGGATGGAACCCAGGGCTGCATGCACGCTGGGCAAGTGCTCGCCGCTGAGCCGCACCCCAGCCCTCAGATTTCCTTCTTAAGGTCTTGTCACGCAAGTGCTGCTAGTATGGACATCGAGGCCGAAGTTCGCCAGCAGAGTGCTTAGGGTGGGCACACCGAGCACCCTGACCAGGTTATTGTCTCCCCAAAGGCCACCCCAGCATCTCTGAAGGGGACAACGGCCGCCTCTGCTCAGGCCAACTCCACACCCACCAGCGTGGCCTCTGTAGTCTCCTCTGCTGAGTCTCCAGCCAGCCGGCAGGCAGCCGCTAAGCTTGCCCTGCGCAAGCAGCTGGAGAAGACGCTGCTGGAGATCCCCCCCCCCAAGCCCCCTGCCCCAGAGATGAACTTCCTGCCCAGCGCTGCCAACAATGAGTTCATCTACCTGGTTGGCCTGGAGGAGGTGGTGCAGAACCTGCTGGAGACACAAGGTGGGTACTGGCCGGGCTCCGCCTCTGCCCAGCCTGGCATGTGGTAATGAAGCCCTGCTGTGTTCCTGGAGCCGGCAGGTGGCTTCTGGGGGACACCATTCCATTGTCAGCTCTGCTATGAAGTGGGACATTGCCCTGTCCCCAAGAGCCAGGGCCACCGAGGCCCATGGTCCAGGAGGACGATTAGCTGTGTCCCTGGGGTTGGGGTGGGGGCAAGGGTGGACCTGGGAGCTGGCACTTCTAGATCAGTCCTGCTGAGGTTGGGCTCCCTTACCTGTCTCCTTGGGGAACAGTAGAAGGGACAGCTACAGGATCACCGTCAAAACCAGCACCGGAGACAGAGGAGGTGGGTGGCCAAGATGGCCCATGGGGATCTGCTCCCTGGAGTGCTTGAGCCTGAGTTCGTGGTGAGCCTCTTGGGCTGTAGCCCCAGTGAGCTCTCCCTCAGGGATCACATCTAGGGCTTGGAGCAGAGGAGGAGGCAGAACAGCCAAGGCCCGGCAGACTTCGGACCCTTGCCCTGGGTCCCCCAGCTCAGGCCTGAGCAGCCCCTCCCAGCCAGGCAGCACCTTCCACCCACCGCCACTTGGCGGTGTGGAGACAGCTGGAGCAGTGGGCTTTGAGGCCCCCAGCTTCAGGGTCATGCCATGGTGCCACAGGGTGGCCTGGGCTCTGACACGCATGGCCTGTCTGGAGCCCTTTGCTGCCAGGCCACGTTGGCAGGGGCTGCTGTGGGAGGGCCTGGGTTCCAGTGCCAGTGCCACACCAACCCTGCGGGGGGAGGGGGCAAGTTAGTTTTCAATGCTTGCCTGAGTGGGTGCCCGCTCTCCAGACCAGAGCCCCTGCTGCCTGTCACCAGGGCTCAGTCTCCTTTCTGCGGGCAAAAATGAGACTTGAGAGAGGCCCCTCCCACAGCCTTGGTTGTGCCTGACCCCAGGCAGGTTCCACAGCCTGCTGGAGGGCTGGATGGTACACAGGTGACCTGGACAGCTGACATCTCATCTGCTCTGTGGGACAAGGGGCCTTCCCCATAGCCACATCCTGTGGGGCTGCAGAAGGCCAGGCTGGGTAGGAAAGGGAGGCGGGAGTCCTTTGCATCTGCCCAGCTGTGCCCTGTAATGACCAAGAGGCTGCTAAAGGCTCCAGCACACAGCCCCAGGAAGGTGTGAGCAGGACGCCGAGGAGAGGACTGCCGCCCCTGGGACCCCTCAGGCTGCCTGCCTGGTGCTGCTCTGCCGTCTTCCTCGACTGGGGCACCGGGGCCCCAGAGTGTCTGCCCGCACTGTGTCTTCAGGGCTGGGCAGGCCGCAGGTGTGGCCCAGTGCTGGGGCTTGCCCTGGCCTGTGGTGTGCAGCCATTGGCCCTGTGGACACTGCTTGTCACTGTCCTTGTTGGCATCTGCTAGCCAGGCTGCCTGTCCATGAGGTGTGAGGCCGGATGTCAAGCTCTCTGTTGTGGGTGGGGTGGGACAGGGAGCTGGCAGCACCAGAGTCTTTGGAGTTGCTACCAAGCTACTCAGCATTGTTTTCCAGAGCTGTGGGCCTTGGCCTGCCAGCATCTGCATGGTGGGGATGTGAGCAGACCCCATCCGCTGTGGCTTTGGGGGCCCGGTAGCTGCCAGGCATGCTGGGCCCAGGCTGTGCTCGTGTTCTGGCCTGCATCTCACTGCAGCCTCCAGCCCTGGCACTGCGGCTTGTCCCTTGCTGGGCTTGACACAGTGCCATCTCCTTTGCAGCGGGCAGGATGTCAGCAGCAGCCGCCGCCGCTGCTGCCGCACTGGCCCGAGAGCCCTACATGTGTGCACAGTGCAAGACAGACTTCACCTGCCGCTGGCGCGAGGAGAAGGGCGGTGCCATCATGTGCGAGAACTGCATGACGTCCAACCAGAAGAAGGCGCTCAAAGTGGAGCACACGAGCCGCCTGAAGGCCGCCTTCGTGAAGGCGCTGCAGCAGGAGCAGGAGATTGAGCAGCGCCTGCTGCAGCAGGGCCCAGCACCTGCCACAGCCAAGGCCGAGCCCACCGCCCCGCACCCCTCACTGAAGCAGGTGAGCGCCTGCCCTGCACCAGTTCGGTGTCCCCCGGGAAGCAGCGGCCTGGTGTATTGTCCCCACTCAGCCTCCTGATTGCTGACCGTGCATCTAAATTGCACTTAATGGTGATGTCCGTGACAAAAACACTAATTTGAAGTTTCTTGAGATTCTGTAGCCTTCACTCGAAGCGCCTGGCTGAGAATTGCTTCTTGTCTGGAAAGACTTCCGGAAGTCACATTGATAGCAAGGGGCGATCAGCAGAAAGTGCTTTGGCTAAATGAAGGAGAGAAGCGAGTTTGAAATCAAGTCTTTTTGTTGGTTCTTTTTTATTTTTCTAAGTTGTCTTTTGATGCTTCTCCTTCCTATCCTCTGTAGACCGGAAGCTGCAATTCTTGTTTCCTCAGAAGTAACTAAACACATTTTGACACTTAAAGCTGCAGGCGAGCACACTGCTGTCCGGGGCCTGGCCTGGCCTGCAGGGTCACCTGGGGCCGAAGAGGTCACTGGGCCGGCAGCCACGAAGACTCGCTGACCCATCTCACCCATCTGTGCAGGTCATAAAGCCCCGGCGGAAGCTGGCGTTCCGCTCAGGAGAGGCGCGCGACTGGAGTAACGGGGCTGTGCTACAGGTCAGAACCGTGGCACCGGGAGCCTCGCGCCCAGTGCCCAGCACAGGCGTGACCATGAGTCTCCCGGCTGCTGTCACACTGCCTGCATCTGTCTGTCTGTTTCTCTTCCTCCTCCACCCCCGGTATAACTCACCTGGTCTCCTGATTTTGGACTCTAGGGACCCCGTCCTTGTGGGTGGGAAGAGGTCAGCCAGAGTGAGGAGAGGCTGCACTGAGCAGGTGTCTCGCTGCGCTGCCCCTTCCTCCCATGAGGGTTGTCCTCTCTCCCCCTGCAGGCCTCCAGCCAGCTGTCCCGGGGCTCATCCACGCCCCGAGGCGTCCTGCACACGTTCAGCCAGTCTCCCAAACTGCAGAACACAGCCTCGGCTACGGCGCTGGTCAGCAGGCCTGGCAGACATTCAGAGAGAGCCGCGGGCACCAAGGGTGGCACCGCCACCAACTGGAAGAAGACGCCTTTGAGCACAGGTGCGCCCCCCTCCTCACTGAGAACAGCGCCTCTGGCATCCTGTTGTGGCCCCAGGACACTATCCTGCTCAAACACTGTCCTCCCCAGTAGTGCCAGTGAAGAGCAGGGCGAGGCGGGTATGGCCCGGGTGGTGGCAGAGGCTCCCTCGCGCCCTCTGAGGGCCGGGGGACTGAGCACATCCTTCCCCAGCTGCCCACCTGTGTCCTCACTTCCAGGCTAATGTAGGGGTGAGTTAAACATCGCCTGTACATGTCCCCCGGAAACGGGGATCCAGGAGGTGACAGCTTGGGCCTGGGAGGGGCTGTGGGGCAGAGACGTGGCATTGGAAAGGCCCAGTCAGGGCTGGGAGCAGCCGTGCACGCGCACAGCACTTGGGGCCCACTGTGCACACAGCCCTGAGCTCGGGGTGTGCCAGTGCCAGCCCCACCAAGCCTAAGGTTGGCAGTTGTATGAAGAAGAGGACTCATACCCACCAGGTCCTTGATTAAAATGGTGTAGGAGGGCTGGGGATTTAGCTCAGCGGTTCCGGGGCCTGCATTGCAAACACAAGGTCCTGAGTTCGATCCCTGGTACCAAAAAAAAAAAAAATGGTGTAGGAGAGTTGGCATGGTGGCTTGGGAGGCTGAGGCAGGAAGATTGCCTAAGCCCAGGAGTTCAGCACCAGCAGGGGCAACGTTGTAAGGTCCTGTGTCCAAAGCAGGGTTGGGAAGTGAAAAGTGAGGGTGTGCTCATGAGGTGACGCCTGGAAGGAAACCTGTGGACGCCAGTTGTGGCAGTGCACAGCTTTGGTGGATACAGGGGAAAGTGAGGAGCCCCGCTGGCAGCACCTGGGTGCCCGCCTGCAGAGGCTCACTCCGCACTGGGGGGCTCCCCTGAGCTGCTACACACAGCATGCAGACCCCAAGGAGGCTCCATGGGGAGGCCGGCATCTCAGGGTCTCAGCTGCTGGAAACGAGCATTCCTAGGAGGGCCACTGTCTTGTTTTCCAGTTACAGGGGTGATATTGGCGGGCGCGGTGGTGCACGCCTGGAATCCCAGCACTCTGGGAGGCTGAGGCAGGAGGATCACAAGTTTCTGCCCACGTACATGGGCAAGTTATGGAGACCCTATCCAAAGACAAAAAGGGCTAGGGGTGTAGCATGGTCAGACCCTGAGTTCCACCCCCCAGCAGGCAGACAGACAGACCAACCTTTGTGGGTGAGGCTGTGTTTAGTGGCTGCTGTCGTCCGCCCACCGTCGTCCCGGAGGTGTGCTTGTCCCTGTGCCCCAGGCAGGGAGCTGAAGCTGTCCCCTGGGCCTGAGCTGGCCTCCACGCCTGTCGCTGTTGTGTTGCAGGTGGGACCCTCGCTTTTGTCAGCCCCAGCCTGGCTGTGCACAAGACTTCCTCGGCCGTGGACCGCCAGCGGGAGTACCTCCTGGACATGATCCCGCCGCGCTCCATCCCCCAGTCGGCCTCGTGGAAATAGTGCGAGCCCGGCCCACTCTGCCCGGCCCACTCTGCCCGGCCCACTCTGCCTGGCCCGGCCCGGCCCGCGCGGCTGCCAAAGACTCGAAGACGCACGTGTGCCTGCCAATGGCAGCAGACCCCGTGCCGGCTGCAGTCTGGTCGCAAGGGGCCGCACCAGTGGACAAGGGTCAGAGCCGAGGGACCTTCCCCTGGGCTTCCTTCCCTCCTCTTTGCCTTTAGTTTGCCCGACACCAGCAGAAATGTGGACCTCAGGGCCGGCTCTGGTCCCAGCCTTCTTACGGCCGGCGCCGGCTCGGCTCACCCTGGACACTGAGCACGCGGCAGTGCTGGCGCCGGGGCCCTGGAAGCTGAGCAGGGCGCCTTGTTTCTTTAGGCTTCTCCCCGTCTTAGGCCCCCGATCTTTGCTTCCCTTCATGCCAATCTTTAGGTTGAAAGTTTTGGTTTTTCCTGAATCACCTCATGATGATGGCGTTGAGAGTAAACCACGTGGCCCCTCGCCTGGGAGAAGGCACCGAGATGCACAGTCCCGGCAGTGGCCGGCCAGGCCCAGGTGGCTCTCGGACACAGGGACGCCAGTCGAGCTCCTGCCAGAAGCCTCATTGCTGCTCTTTTGGGGCCCCGGGATCCCCCACACTCAGCAGAAGAACACACTGGCCAGACACTGCCCAGGACCCAGGGTTCGGAAGCCGGCCGCCACGGGCAGGAGGAGAACGTGGAGAGCCGTCTGCAGCCGCGGCGTGGAGCCCGCAGGAAGCTCGGGCGGCTGGGCGGGGCAGTGTGGTGGTGGTTTATTTTATTAAATTTTTCCTTTCTTATTTTGATGAACACAATCTCAAGCTGCCCCTGCCGAGGTGCCGTGCAGGTGCAGGCGTGGGGCAGGCTGTGCCCGACTTGAGGAGCTCACGCCCTTGAGCATAGCTAGAACCCATCCCTCAGGCTGGGCTGCTGTCAGGGTTTGCTTTCCGACTTTTTCCGTCCCTTGAGAGTGAGTCTACAGAAACATTTTTTAAAGGATCAGGTTTGCTTTTAGTTTTATTTCTTTTCCCTCCCACTCTTTAAAAATGGGTTCCGTGAGGAAAGGCAGAGCTGCTGTGTCTGCCGCAGCTGCAGCGCACCTGCCTGAAGTGGGGGCGCCGCTCCCGGTTCCGTTCCAGCCCCGTTTCCCTGCTGATGCGATTAGGGACTTTAATTTAAAACCCTCGTTCTGTAGGACATTCTCCAGACAACTTCGACGGCCAGCGTTCTAATAAAGGCTCATTTAACCCCAGTTCACGGCGTATGAATGTCATCAGTCTTGGGAGACAGTCTGACACCAAGTAGAGGACCTCGCTTTGGAAAACGTTCCAACTTTTATGTTGTGCAAACCCCAGAATTTCTCACTGATTTTGCCTTGAGTGCGTGACTTCGCTGGGCTTCGGAGGAGAGGGTGTGGGAGGGTGGCTGTCACCCCAAGGGCTAGGGACACGGGCAGGTGGGACCCTGTTTGGAGGGGGAGGGTGTGTGTTTACACCAAAAAAAAGTACGCAAGTATTTCCACTCCTCGAAGTTCTGTGTGCCTGCAAGTAGCTCCGGCCCGTACCCAGGTGTGTGCCCTCTGATCCCCGGGGGGGCCGGCTACCCCCAGGCCAGCCTGCTCCCTCCGGCTCTGTGCTGCCGCCCACTTGGCCCCAGCTCCCACGCTTGGCCACACTTTTCCTCCGGGACTTGCACCTATCGGCCAGGCCCTGGCCCCAGGACGGGCTGTGGCTCCTCTGGGGGACAGAGTGGCCCTGGCTCCCTCAGCACCTCCAGCCCCAGCCCGGGTCCCAGGGTTTATTCCCATCAGGGAGGACATACTGTGACATAATGTAGCTTTTTTAAAGTATAGAGGACAAGAATGTGAGATGCCTTAATCTTTCACTTCTACGTCTTGAAAGTCCTACCCTGCTTGTCTTTCTCCAGTCCCTGCTGCAGTGCGACATGGACAGTGAGCCCCAAGTGGTGACAGGATGTTCGTGCCCCCGCAGTGGCCTGGCCCAGCACCCTTGTGGGCCAGCGTGGCTGTCCCAGGAAAGCGGGGTACTAGCATTGATTCAAGGGTATCACCCCACCGCAAGGTGCACCCCCCCAGGACTTAGCTGCTGTCCCCAAAGTTCTGGAGTCCCCAGAGCCCTTGTAGGGGGTCCAGCTCTGAGCCCTGAGGCAAGTGGCAATTGCAAGGGGTCGGTCCCTGGTTATCAGTGACAGACCCCAGGGCGATGGAACCGTGCCCAAGTCCGCTGCTCTGGGGGTGTCGCAGCCCCCTAGCCTGTTTGCTGGGGTGTAGGACAGGCCCACTGGGAGCCCCCACGGCTCTGGCCAGGGCTTGGGGACTGCAGGCTGTGGTGTCCTCTAAAAGCACCCTCAGAGTGGGATGTCCCTGGGGTGGGGCTCTCCTCACGGGGCATCCTGGCCACCCCACCTCAGGTCTGTGTCCGGCGTCAAGTGATGCTGCCCAGGACCTTAGTATGGAGAACTTGGACTGAGGTGTTTTTTTTTGTCAAAAAGACAGCAATTTTATAGTTCTTGAAGTGTGATAGATGGTTTACACTAGTGCAGGGTATGGGGGCTCTGAGGGGGAGGTTGTCACTTGTATTTATTGTGACTCTAAATCTTGGATAATGTAAAAAACTGTTTGCCACCAAATGGGAACAAGTTCTCCTAAACCAAGCGGCTGGCATTGGTGGCCGTGCATTGTATCAGGAGGAAGTTCAGACTCTGGAGTTGGGACAATAAAGGAATGGACATGAGTCGCTGTGCATCTCTTTTGTCCCTCGGCCCTGGTCTCCCGGGACTTGCCCGGCTTTGGACAGCGTGGAGGGGAGGCGGGGAGGGCCCGTGGCTGACGGTAGGGCCATCGGCTCTGTGGCCACTTAGCCCACGGCAGGCGGGCCAGTGTGGGGTGAGGCCTGGTGGGGTTGCCCTCTGGTGGCCTTGGGGCCTCACAGCAGTGTGTGACCAGTGGTTTCTCCGTGCATAAGACTGGCCCTGATTTTCCCAGGTGCTGACACGGTTATATTGCTTTTTGGCCTTCTTTCTCTCGGTGCTGGGAGTTGAACCCAGCACCTTATGCTAGGAAGGTGCTTGCTACTGACCCTAGGCTCACTTTGAGGCATCCTTGACACTGGCTTGGGGTCTGATGACCTCCCCAGGGCCAGAGCCACAAAACCTTGTGCCTGTCCAGCACCACCTGCAACTGTACAGAGGTGGCGCCGGGAGTCGGACGGGCATATCCGAGCCCTGCCCTCCACCCTTGTGCACCCATCGTCCCCAGGCCTTGAGGTGCGGGTCCAGCTGCAAGGAGGCCTGGGCCCCACCAGCTGCTACACCTGTGGGCAGACTGCAAGTGCTACACCCTCTGTGCTAGGGACATGACAGCCAGCCGTGTGGTGGTGATGCCAGGTGACTCCTTTTTTAAAAGATTTTACTTGAGCTGTACTCCCAGCCTTTGTCTTTTATTTTGAGACAGGGTCTCCCTGAGTTGTCCAGGCTGGGCTCAAACTCTAGATCTTCCTGCCTAAGCCTCCTGAGTAGCTGAGACTACAGATGTGGGCCTCCACTTCCTACTAGACCAATAATGAGAGGGGAAGTGATGCCAAGAGTGTGGACAACCTGTGCAAAGGCGGGGAGGTGGGACGAAGCATGGGAGGCCTGGAACAAAGAGGAGAGTGTGGGTGGGTTGCAGGGAGAAGGGGGAGGGTGTGGACTGGCTTTGCCCATTTTTGTTCTGTTTTTTGAGACAGTCTCATGTAGTTCAGGCTGGTCTCCAACTCTGTCCTGCCTCAGCCTCCCGAGCGCTGCGAGCACAGGTGTGTACCGCACCGCAGCCTGCACTGATTCTGCACAGTGCACACCCTTCACCCGGCCCTGAGGGAGGGTCCGGTCCTTTAAACCAGAGGGCTGGGCTTCTGTACAGCTCGGACCTCAGCCTGCCAGCCCCGTCTGCAAAATGAGGGCGGGGTGAGCCTAGGGCTGGCCCTCAGTCCCCAGGGTACGGAAAGCCCAGGGTTGGTGTGGTGACACCCACACAGGAGACCGTGTGGGCTCATGAGCAGGATGAGGTTCAGGGAGGAGACAGCTGCGGTCACCAAACCAGTCACCGCCCCTAGGATCCACGGGGGGCCTTCCTGGCTCCCCTCTCGCCCCCACCTCCCAGGTCTTGCTGCAGGGGCGCCTGGCCCTACCCAAGCCTTTGCCCTCTTAGGGCTCAGCCCGAAGTCTTCCCTTTCTATGTGCCCGGCTAACAGTCACCTTCCTCCCCGCCCGTCTGGTTTCACCTGAGTCACGTGCCTCCTCCTGGGGACAAGCTCCAGGGCCAGGCACACAGCACACAGCAAGTGCTCAAGAACCGCAGAGGTGAGAGGAGCCCACTCTGACTCCTACCAGCTTCCCAGAGCGGGGCCCTCACCACGCAGGGCTTTTCCCACCCCCACTTCAGCATGGTGGGTGGCCAAATGCCAGCTGTCTTTGGGCACATGCCACCTGTGTGAGCTTCAGTTTCCCCATCTGTAAATGAGCAAAATAGTTCCCACCCGGGTCATCACGGCCCCGGGAACAACAAAGCCCCTTTGGGTTTGCCCAGGCAGGGGAGCCCGAGAGCTCCGAGTTTGAGTCCTATAAGACCCCTTTGAAACGTGAAGGCAGAACCTCAATCTGCCTTTCTCTAAAAACGGGAACCCTGCCCCCACTTTCCTCCGGGAGTGACCCTCCTTCCTCTGTAAACCGGTGCACCGCTGAAGCCACGTGGGAGGAACAGCGAGTTTATTGCAGGTTCCAACCGGAAACCTGGCACCCCCCGGCTGGCCAGAGAGGGACGGCCTCAGCGCGTCCACAACTTCACGCAGCCACCAGGGTTGCACAGCCATCGCTCATTCCTCACAGGCACAATGTGCCAGTCTCCTCTTTTCCCGCCCCTCCAGAAGCCTTTGGGCGGGAATCGAGGATGCACATTCGCCTTCTACTCTCGGGATCGTGAAGTAGGAACCAAAGGTCATCGGGTACGGGTGGGGGTAACTGCGGCGGGCCTGTGGCGGAGAGAGCGCGTGCGCAGTGGCACGCGGAGGCGTGGTCTCCAGTCCCCAGTGGCGCCACCGCTCCTGCACCCGCCAGCCGGCTGGCTCGGTGCAGCCCTGGAACCCCAGCTCCTAGCCGGAGTCCCCAGAACGCAGCCAGCTATTGCGCACTACCTGGCCCGCCGAGGGCCTGGCGGAGGGGCTGAACTGGAGCAACTCGGCGATCAGGGCCTTGCAGCGGTCGGACAGCTCGAGGCCCTCCGAATAGAGCACTCCGCGCTTCTGGCGCCCGGGCAGACCCGCGATGTCCGAGTCGTCGAAGGGCATGCACCCAGTGACCATGACGTAGAGCACGACGCCCATGCTCCACACGTCGTACTTCTTGGGGTCGTAGGGGATGCCCAGCAGCACCTCGGGCGACGCGTAGGCGGCTGAGCCGCAGTAGGTGGTGCTCAGGTCCGGGTAACCGTGCGCCTGGCGGCCGAAGCCGAAGTCGGTGAGCTTGACGCGGCGCTCGTCGGGGCTCAGCAGCACGTTCTCGCACTTGAGGTCGCGGTGCACCAGGTGGTGGTCGTGCAGGTAGCGCACGGCGCCAGCGATCTGCCCGAAGAGGTCACGCGCCTGCGACCCGGGGATGCGCCCGTTGCGCTGCACGGCTTGCAGCAGGTCTGTGGCGGCCGCCTCCATGACGATGTACAGCTTCCCGTTGCACACCTCGATGAACTCGAAGACGTGCACGATGTGCGGGTGCCGTACGCCCCGCAGGATGGACAGCTCCCGCGGCAGGAACTTGTTGACGAAGTCTGGAGGCGCGCGGCGCCGGTCCACCACCTTGATGGCCACCGTACCCTTGTACTTCTTGGAGGTGGCCACCTTCACCTTGGAGTAGCTGCCCTCGCCGATTGTGCGGCCCAGCTTATAGCCGAGTTCGCGCAGGAGTTTGTCGCCCGACATGATGACCCCCAAGGGCGCGCGGGGAGCAGGAGGCGGCTGCTGTTGGGGGGCGGCCGGACTCCAATTTCTGGCCTAATCCATAGCGCTCGGCACCTGCACCCCTGTGCCCCCATGCGCCCACTCCCCGGACCCCGCCGGTGCCGCGGCTTGTATCGCCTTGGTAACAATTTCTGCCTTGTGAAGTGACTGTGGGCGTCACTCCAGCCGGACCCCACCCCAGGTAGCTCCTCCCTAGGGCCTCGTGCTTTGTGACTCAGTGGCCCCACGGTGAGTTCTTGACAAGAGGCCACTAGAGAGGGCACGAGCCACCCACAGGGCAGAGGCCACTCCTGGGATTGGAGCGCTTGCACCTGGGATTGGAACGCTTTCTCCTGAGTTCCTCCGAACTTTGTGAGCCCAGCCGGTGACCACGTGGAGCCCTCAGGTGCCCGCAGTGTCCCCGAGGGGAGAGAAAACCGGAGAGGGGGGCGTAACTTGGGGACCTGCCTGCCCCAGGAGCTCGGGGTTTCTGACTGCCCCGTACGACTCCAGTAGGAAGGTGGACGCGAGGGCTTCTCGCGCAAGGTCCAGAGCACCCCGGCAGGCTGTAGGTCCGGATGACCAAGTTACGCCCTGTCTGGAGGAACAGCAGATAAGGGCTCCACGGAACGGAACGGAACCCGCAGTCACAGCCAGGCCCCGCCTCCTGATCTCTCCCGAGCCTTGGGAGAACTAGGGATCCGGACCTCAGGTTCCCAGCACTGAGGGAGGTCTTCACCGCAGCTTCCGCCACACTCAGCATGGCGGTGGACGTTTGCGCCACTTCCTCCTGGGACCGGAAGTGCAAGGTTCTGCAAGGATGGCGGTACAGAAGGTGAAACAGGACATGCCCCCTCCGGGGGGCTACGGCACCATCGACTACAAACGGAACCTGCCGCGCCGAGGACTGTCGGGTTAGTGTCGCCATGCGCAACGATCTCAGGGTCTGGGCCGTTGGCGCGCTGCGGCAGGGGCGGAAGCCGGCGATGTGAGCGGGCCTCAGTTTGCCCGAAGCTGTGACCACAGGTAGAGCCAGGGGGGTCCCCAGTGGCTTTAGTAATAATGATGATAGCTGCTGAATAACTACAGCTTAGTCTCTGCTTCCTTCCTTCAGCTCTGAAGGTCCGTCCAGTTAATTGCTCACATTTTACAGTGAGTTAAACGGAGGCTGCCACGGTCCCAGGGTCACCCAGGGCAGGCTGGGACCCGAACCCAGAGGGAATCTATGAGGTGTTCTATGCCCGGGTTTCTCCCTCACAGCCCCGTTCCCCCAGAAAATGCCCCCGGAAACAGTATTAAATTTTCCCAACATTTTAAGTAACGTTTAAATTTCACTATTGGTTTTATCACAGGAAAATATAGAGGAGAACATAAAAGGCGCCCATACATAGAACTCAGAGTTAAGGAAAATAAGAAAATTTAAATGTAGTTTATGATGGGTGTGGTGGCCCATGCCTGTAATCCCAGCATTCCCCAAGGGTGAGGCAGGAGGATTACCACAAATTCAAGGCTGGCCTGGGCTACATAACAAGACCCTGTCTCAAAAAAATAACCAGGGCTGGGGATTTAGCTCAGTGGTTCTGGCGCCTGCCTCACAAGCGCAAGGTCCCGAGTCTAATCCCCGGTACTAAAAAAAAAAAAATTGCATGTTATGCGAATTATGTCTGAGTTAAAAATCAAATTCAGGGGCCGGGGATTTAGCTCTGTGGTTCCGGCGCCTGCCTCGCAAGCGCAAGGACTCGAGTTTGATCCTCGGTACCAAAAAAAAAAAAAAAATCGAATTCAGGGGCCGGGGGGATTTAGCTCAGTGGTTCCAGTGCCTTCGTCACAAGTCCAAGGTCCTGAGTTTGATCCCTGATAACAACAACAACAAAAAATTGAGCTGGGCATGGTGGCTTACACCTGTCATCCCAGCACTTGGGAGGCTGAAGCAGGAGGGGTGCTGCAAATTGAAGGCCACAGGCCAATCAAGGGCTAGTTACTGAAAGTGGGTGCACAAAGAGTGAGGCCTGGGACACACACACACACACACACACACACACACAGGTCCTCTCTCTCCAGCCATTGTGTTAAGGATATGTGACTAGGGAGCTGCTGAGGAGGGCAACACCTGGCACAACAGAAGGTGCCACAGTGTCAAGAACAGGAAGAGAACAGGGTAAAAAGCATGTCTGTGAGTTAAAAATTAAAGAGTCTGGGCCAGGGATTTAGCTCAGTGGTTCCGCACCTGCCTCGCAAGCACAAGGTCCTGAGTTTGATCTCCGGTACAAAAAAAAAAAAATTAAAGAGTCCTAGTTGGATGCAGTGGCCCACACAGGTAATCCTGGCAAGCTGGGCAGCTGAAGCAAAACAATCGCAAGGGAACCCAGCCTGGGTAACATAAAAGGCCCCGTCTCAAAATGAATTTTAAAAAGGTTGGGCATGGTGCTGCACACCTGTAATCCTAGCACTAAAGAGGGGAAGGCAAGAAGATAGCTGTGAGTTCAAGGCCAGCTTGAATCTCATAGCAAGACCCTGTCTCTGTGAAAAAAGGGACAGGATTTAGCTCAGAGAGAAGGCTGTGGGTTCAACTCCTAGTCCCACCCAAAAGAAAGAAAAACAGCAACAGTGCTGAATCATGCTGCCCAGCCCCCAGTGGAGGTTGCCCTGATTGCCTGGCAGTGGGAGAGCCTGCGTTCCAGGCCGAGTGTCTAGAAAGGAAAAAGCCTCAGCTCACATTGTATTCCTTAGATCCCAGATCCACCCTCCAGCCTGTTCTGGCACAACCCAGTTCTAAAAACATTTTACATTTGTAAATGATTGTCCTGACAACTGAGACCCTCTGGCCTTGAAATCTGGAAAATGTGTTGTTTTTGTAGGTCTGGGGTTGGAACCCAGGACTTGTGCATGCCAAGGCAGGTGCTCTTCCACTCACCTATACCCTTATTCCTGTCTTCTTTTTTTAATGATGCATCTGGATTTTCTTTTTTCCTTTTCCTTTTTCTTTTTTGGAGACAGCATCTTCCTGTGTAATCCAGCTGGCCTGTAACTCACTATGTAGCCCAGGCTGGCCTCGAACTCCAGCGATCCTCCTGCCTCAGCCTCCCGAGTGCTGGGGTTACACGTGTGTCATCACACCTGGCTGCTTTTTTGGTTCTTTGGTGACAAGGTCTCACTGTGTAACCCAGGGTGGCCTTGAACTCTCAGTGAGTATGCAGAGGTCCTGCTCCCCAACTGCCACACCCCCCCTCGGCCCCAGCTTTGGCCAGGTAAGCAGCTTCCCATCAGCCACATCTTCCTGTCTAAGGCCTTGGCGTCCCCAAGCCTGGCACCCACTCAACTCCCCACCTGGACCACACGTTACTGCCTGTACTCAGTGGGCACAGGCCACTGTCAGTCCACACCACCACTCACCAACACCAGCTCTTCCCTGTCTCTCTAGAGCCTCCTAAGCCCAGTGGGTGACCCTTCAATCTGGCATCTTAGTGGACTTCACATAGCACACAGCACAATTCACTTGTAAAAAGTATGTTGGGCTTCCAGGCGTGGGGGCACACGGCTTTAATGCCAGGACTCTGGAGGCTGAGGCAGAAGGATCACCCCAAGTTGAGGTCTTCCTGGGCTACATAGTGAGTTCAAGGCCTGCTTGGACTGCATAGTGAGGCCTTGTCTCAAAAAAAGTATGTGGCTGCGCCTGCCTGGCAAGTGCAAGATCCTGAGTTTGATCCCCAGTACTGGAAAAAAAAAAAGGTATGGGGAGATGGGGTAGAGCTCAGTGGTAGGCCACTTGCTTAGCATGCACAAAGCCCTGGATTCCATCCCCAGCATCACAAAGAAAATAGTGTATGTACATGTATGCACACACATAGTAAATGTGTCCAATTCATATGAGGTTTTTTTTTTTTTCCAGTACTGGGAATTGAACCCAGGGCCTTTACTCTTGTGTTACATCTCTAGCCTTTGATTTTTTATTTTGAGACAGGCTCTCACTGAGGTGTCCAGGGTGGGCTTCCACTTGCCATGTTCCTGCCTCAGCCTCCCAGAGCGCTGGGACCACAGGTGTGGGCCACTGTACACAGCCAGGTTTACTGATCTTTCGTGTATGCACAGAGTGTGTGATTATTGCCAGCATCCACATTTAGAGCACAGTGATCGCCCCACAGTGAAGCCACGCCCCCATCTCCCTGGTGGCTACTGATCTACTTCCTGTCTCTGGATTTGTCTGTTCTTCCCACTTCCTATAAATTAATTCATACACTCTGTGGCCTTTTATGTCTGGTGTATGTTCTGAGGTTCATCCACATTATAACACACGTCGGTGTCTGGTTGTGTCATTATTTATTTAGGTTTCTTTGAGACAGGGTCTGTCTATGTGGTTCCAGCTGGTCTTGAACTCAGTGTGTAGCCCAGGCTGGCCTTGAACTCGAAGTGATCCTCCTGCCTCAGCCTCCTGAATGCTGGGATGACAGGTGTGGGCCACAGGCCTGGGTCCTTCCTAGGTTTTTTCCCCGAGAGAGTGAGTTTCAGCTTGCACATTGAGGCCTTTGATCCGAGTTGAGTTAATTTTTGTGTATGAGCTGAGGACACCGCCTGGCATTGGTCTGCACGTGGCTGTCCAGTTGTCCCATTTAGCGAAAAGACTGTTCTTTTGCATTGAATTGTCTTGGCTCCCTTGTCCAGAATCAATTGACCATAAATATGAGGGTTTATTTCTGGACTCTGGGCTCTGTCTTGCTGCTGAATGTGTCCTTGCGTGCCAGGACCACGCTGTGCTGTACACACAGCTGCGTGGTGCATTGGAAGCGGGGTAAGTATGAGTCCTGCAACTTTGTCCCACTTTTCCAGAGTTGTTTGGGCTGTTCTGGCCCCAGTGCATCCATGTGAAGCCTGCTGGAGGGTTTCTGCAGGATGGGGAATACGGTGAATATGCTGCATCTATTTGGGGAGCGTTACCATCCACTCAGAGCTGCCTGTTCTCATCTGTGAACTTACTTATTAAGTTTTCTTTTCTTTTCTTTGTTTTGTTTTTTTTTGGTGCCAGGGATCGAACTCGGGACCTTGTGCTTGCAAGGCAGGCGCCGGAACCACTTAGCTAAATCCCTGGCCTGAGTTTTCTTATTGTTTTATTTTTTGATATTAGGGATTGAACCCACAGCCTTCATGCTGAGCTACATTCCCAGACCTTTTTATTTTTTGAGACAAGGTTTCACTAAGTTCCCAGGCTGGGTTTGAATTTGCAGTCCTGCCTCAGCCTCCTGAATGCTGGGGTGACAGGTGTGCACCACCCCACCCGGCTCTGAGCACATGCTTCTAGCAGATTGAATGACACAGTAGAAACCAGAACCGCTTTCTCATTTGCTTCCGAATCTAGCAGCAGTACCGGGCAGCCCTGTGCCGGAGCCAAGCTGAAGAGCAAAGGGAAGGACAGGGACATTGGCCACCCTCAGCAGACCTTGTGCCACCCAAGTCCCAGGTGGACCTCACGTAACATCACACCGACCGTGGCCACCTACTGGGTGTGAACCAGAGCTGCAGGTCTGTCCTAGCAGCCAGCAGGCCCCTGGGAAGGAGGCCAGGCTGGAAACTGGGGGGAGCGAGTGTGAGCCAGCCCAGCCATCCATCCCGGGGTTAGAGTCAGGATTAGTCAGGATTAGAGCCGGGCCCCTGCTGGTCCTCAGGAAATATTCATGGGGCTTCTGTCCCTCCCCTGGAGCATGCAGGCCCTATCCTCCTGGGCCAGGAAGTCACAGTGCCACCCCCGCGGGGCACTGCCTTCCCCTGGTGGCCGCGTGCAGCATGCATGTGTGCGGTGTGCAGGGTAGTGGCCCTGGTGAGACCCAGCCATGGACGCTGTCAGAGCCGCCCTCCTAGTGGGAGATGGTAGAACCAGGGCCACCCAGCCCCGATTGTCTGGGTGTGAGAGAAAAGTCCAGAGTGCAGAGCAGATGGGCACGGGCAAGGTCACTGCTGTGTCCCCGATACCTGTCCCCTCGCAGGTACCCCTGGGTGGTGCTCTTCAGGCTAGGACATGCCAGAGCGGCTGAGTGTGAGCGAGACCCGTCTCCCTCTCCCCGCAGGCTACAGCATGTTTGCCTTGGGCATCGGGACCTTGCTCTACGGGTACTGGAACATGATAAAGTGGAATCGTGAGCGCAGGTAGAGTCCAGCTGGCCGGGCATGTGGGTGGCGTGGTGTTGGGGGTTGCGGTTTCTGGGAGTCCTGTCACTGGGGCTGGTGAGGTTGGGCACAGGTGCCCTTGGGCAGTCATGCGGTCCAGGCCCCCATGGTGCACATGTTCTGGCCTCAAGTACATTTCTAAGCTTTCCCCTCAGAAAGGTCCAGCAAGCAGGGAGCTGGTAGCCAGGGGTCCACCGCCCCCCTCTGGCTGCCGGGTCAGGAGACCCGTTAGAACAGGATATCCTGTGTGCAGGCCGGTGACATGCCCACACTGCAGGCTGCTGTTGGGGGGACAGCCAGGCAGATCATCAGGGTGTAGAACCGGACCAAGGGCACGGTGGCGCAGGGACCAGGAGACGAAGGCTTCGTCACTCCATGGGCTGCTGGTTGCCTCCCTGCCAGCGAGGATCTTGGAAATTGCTGGGTGCAGGGAGAAGAGAGGACCGCCCTCCGCCTGCCTGCACCCTATAGTTATTTTGAGACAGGCGGACGTGGTTCTGTAAGGCCCAGAGCCCTGTGATGACTGTCCCCCCCTGCACTGAGGTCACCAGGCTGGGCTATTTTTAGAGGGAAAAAGTTTTTAATTGAAAAGAAAGTGTGAAGCCAACAGTCGTGAGTGCGCTTGCCTATGCCCGGCTCCCGCCCACTGGCCCTCCTACCTGGCTGGTGACCAGCCCAGCATCCCCTTCCGCCTGCCGCCAGCCTCCTGCCACCACTCGAGCTGCTCTTCTCCCCGCCCCACATGGCAGCCTCCTGTGACCCCAGGGTCACCTTTGCATTCCACAGGCGCCTGCAGATCGAGAACCTGGAGGCCCGGCTTGCGCTCTTGCCCCTGTTGCAGGCTGAGAGGGACCGCAGGTAGGGCTCCCTCCAGGGTGGGAGGGTGCAGGCCCACCCCATGGGGTCTGTCAGCTGCAGCTGCTTCCCCTTGGAGCAGGCCAGAGATGACCTACAGAGACCCTGAGGGGAGAATAGGAAGGCTTCCTTCCTGGAAGAAGGGGCAGTGGGGCTGGGTCAGGAGACAGGATAGAAGTTTGCCAGAGGGAAGAAGGGAAGGAAGAGAGGGTTTGGCATGGTTGCCAACCTTTCATCCCAGCTACTCAGGAGGCTGAGGCAGGAGGATTGCAAGGTTTAGATCATCCTGGGTAACTTAGTGAGCCATGTCTCAAAATACAGTGTTAAAACTGGGCTGGGGTTGTGGCTCAGTGATGAGCACTTGCCTAGCATGCATAAGGCTCTGGGTTCCAGCCCCAGCACTGCAAGATAAAAAGAAAGATGGCCCAGGGATTTAGCTCAGTGGTGCCGCCCCCTGCCTCGAAAGCGCAAAGTCCCGAGTTCAAAAAAAAGAAAAAGAAGGGAGGGAGAGAGGGAAGGAGGAAGGGCGGGCTGGAGGGAGGCTGCTTACCGCCCCGCCCCCAGGGTCCTGCGGATGCTGAGGGAGAACCTGGAGGAGGAGGCCATCATCATGAAGGACGTGCCCGGCTGGAAGGTGAGTGGGGCCTCTGCGAGAGCCCGGTTCTGGGGTGCGGGGTGGGGCCTGGCCCAGCCCCCCCTCGCATCCCTCTGTCCTTGTCCCCAGGTGGGCGAGTCCATGTTCCACACCACTCGCTGGGTGACCCCAGACATCGGCGAGCTGTATGCACTGCGCACGCCGGAGGAGGTCATCAACGCCAGCTATGGCTTCATGTGGTTCTCGTTGTAGGGCGCCCGCGCAGGAAATAAACGTGTGTGCCCGGCTTTTCGGCTGCTGTGTCTGTCCGCCACCCACCCCTGTGGCCCCACGCGCCTCCGTGGACACCGGGTGTCAGCAGCCCCGACCCCTGGGGCTGCTATCAGTTAGGGTCCTCTACCGTCACCGGGCCAAGGGCTGCTGGGGATGCCCAGTGGCCCTAGACCAGGGTCTCCCCACCCCCTGAGGTGGGCCTGTCTCTCACCACTTCCCCAGACTTAGTTTCCCAGCCTCTGTCGCAGCTCTGTGCTTCCCTCCATCCCCCTGGTGGCAGCTCCTGTCCGGTAAGGAAGAGTTAAGTCGGCCCACACGCACTGGCCAATGGGCACGCGCAGCGCCTTCGCGGCGCCTCCTGATTGGCGGGCGCTCTGGATGGGCGGGAGGAGGGGGGGAGGGGTCGCCCCGCCTCCGAGCTGCGCTTAAAAGGCCACAGCTGTGCAGAGCCCGCGCATCCGCTCACCTCGGCCATGAGCTGCACGGAGCCTGCGGAGGCGCCTGAGGAGCGGAGTTTCCTCAGGTCAGCGGGGAGAGGGGCAGGCTTGGTACCAGGGCCGGGAGGGCAGAGCGGGGTGCGGAAGACAGCATGGCGGGGAACTGGCCGCCCCACCTGCCGACGCCTCCAGAGCCCTGTTGCCAGGGAAACAGCATCCACGGCGCCAGCCCCTCATGAATATTCATCAGTGCCTCCAGCTCACCTCGCTGCCCCCCAGGACCTGCGGGTCCCCCTGGGCAGCTTCCCTGCTTGCTCCTCCTGTCCCGAGGAGGAACAGGCCGGGGAAGGGTTCTGCTGCCCGAGCCACAGCCGGAGCGGACGTGGGCGGCAGCGGGGCTTCACCTGGCGGGGGAGGCGGCTCCCCGGGGCGCGTGGGAGGAACTCGGAGGGGCTGGGGGGCGGCGACGCGTCCGTGCTGAGTTCCCGAGCCCGGGAGGAGCGGGAGGAGCTGGGGCTGAGACCGCTGCGAACACGGCCAGGTGAGCGGGCAGCGGGCCGTGGGTGTGGTCGTCTGGCGTGGGCACGGCCGGAGGGTGCCAGTCCCCTCCGGGAAGCAGCCCGGTTCCTTTCTCACCCAGGCCGCCTCAGGCTTTCTGGGGGCCGAAGCTGGGGGAGTAAGAGGCACCCTCGCAACGGAGCCCCACGGCAGCCAACAGCTCTGCCCTGTCCCCGCCCCGAGCTGCTGCTGTCCCAGCCCGCGCCACTGCGTCCCCTCTGTCGCCGAAATCACCGCTTTGAAGAAGATAAAAGTTCCAGGAGGGTCCCGTTGGGGTGATGCATTCCCAGCCTGTGGGCCCCTCACCCTGAACCCGAATGCAGCTCCCGGCACGGGCTTTCCCGGGAGCAGGGCCAGTGGCACCCCTGCTTCCACTTCCACCCTCACCTTCCTCCTGCGTCAGTCACAGACCCAGGCTCTGCACCCTGAACCCACCAGGCACCTGCCTGTCCCCACCCCGGGGCCCCTGAAAATTCCCGGCTGCGTTTCTCCCTGACTTGGCGCCAGCCAAACGGGACCTGGACCCTGGCTGTCCCTGCTGCCCGGGTCGCCTCCCCCAGGAAGCCTCAATGGCCCCCGTGCCCTTTGGTCTCTGGTGCCCCTGTGTGCTCTGCCCGCCCATACGAGCAGGGCAGCCGGTGCCACCACAGCAAGGGGAGAAGGGGCAACCCCATCTCTGCCAGCTGTTCCCTTGCCAGCCGGCAGGCTGGTGCTCCTCGGAAGCCCCACCGCCCGGCTGGTGTGGTCCCTACATAAAAGGGCCTGATGAAGGGCCGGGATTTAGCTCAGTGGTTCCTGCGCCTGCCTTGAAAGCGCAGGAGTTCGATCCCCAGTACCAAGAAAAAAAGAAAGAAAGAAAGAGAAAGGGCCCTATGCTGCTTTAATGTCCTGCCCTCTCAGTCCCTGGCTTCTGTGAAAGGTCCCGTTTTCACTGCCCTGGGCCCTCCTGCCTCCCTGCCCTCCTGCCCAGAGAGGTGGACATGGACCCTGGCAAGCCGGATGGCAGAACTTCTCAAGCCACGTGGCCCTAAATATTTTAACTTCCTCATTGCACCTAAATGGGGGTCCAAGTCCCACATCTCCCTCTGAGCCGTTAAAACTGCAGATGTGTATGCTGAGGCACACCTGCAATCCTAGCTCTGGGAGCCTGAGTTCAGACCAGCCTGGACTCCATAGTGAGACCCTGTCTCCAAAAACCAAAAAGACCCTGCAGTTTTCAGAACCCGCCTTGCCCACCGCCGGTGCGTCCTGGACTCCATCTCCCCCACTGAGGCCCTTCCCTCTCCCTGGTGCGCTCCTACGTGCTTGGTTCGGATCTGGTCTCCTGGCCCCAGGGCCCTGAAACCACCTTCGGCCACCAGAGGGCGCGCGCGCCCCGGGCTTCGGCTCCAACTTCTGCCGGCTGCCATTCAACCGGGCGCTGGTCTGGTAAACTGAGGAAGAGGAAGGCTCCCCCACCCAGGGCTCGTAAGAGCTCCTCTGGGGTAGAGGGTGAGAGGGTAGTTTCTGAACCTGGCGCGTAACGCCGAGGGGATGTTTGGGCTCCGACAGGCGGGCGCGTCTCCATGCGCCTCTCTGTCCTCAGCACGGCGGAGGCGGCCGCCCTGGAGCGGGAGCTGCTCGAGGATTACCGCTTCGGGCGACAGCAGCTGGTGGAGCTGTGTGGACACGCTAGTGCCGTGGCTGTGACCAAGGTACCTGAGCCCCCGGAACCAGGACATCACCTCACCCCGGGCCAGGCCGGCCCAGCCTTCACCATGGGGAAACTGAGGCACGGGAGCGGGGACTGCCCAAGGTCACATTGGAAGCAGAGCTGTGGCCCGGGTGCGTCCAGCTCTGGGAGGACAGGAGAAGAGCAATGAGGTCCCTCTCCACGTGTGGCCACCTGCTGGCCATGGGTCCCCTCAGGGAAAGGCCAATAAATCTGCTCACAGCGGAAACTGCCCTCCCTTCTCCTCCTCCCTCCCCTTTTTTTTCATTCCCCCGCCCCAGCCACTGTAGCCCTTTAAAAGCAGCTCAGTGTCTGTCTTTACCTGGACTGAACTTTTATGTTCTTACTTAAGTGCGTTCCTGAGTGGAGTGCGTCCTGGTTAGGGTGTCCAGAGGACAAGAACCAGCGACACTCAGCCACCAAAATGGCCTCCTGCACTGGCCAGCCGGTGTGGCAGGGTCACAGGACCCAGATGACACCTTGGGGCGGAGTCCTGGACTCGTTTCCCTGCTGTGTGGTTTAAGGGAAGGTGGGCTCCCTGGTGCCTTTGCTGCTCCTTTGCTGGAGGCAAATCTGGCTGGAGAGAGGGTGAGGCTGGGACTCAGAACCCTGGTCTTGACCTGAAAAGAGAAAAGCCGGAATGGTGGTTCACACTTGTCAATGGGCACTCAGGAGGCTGAGGCAGGAGGGTCCAAAGTTCAAGGCAACTTATCAAGACCCTGTCTCAAAACAAAAAGGGCTGGGGATGTAGCTCAGCACTTGCTGAACAGTAACAGGAACACAAAAAAGAAAAAGACAGTCACATGCCAGCAGAGATGAGCACTGGCTGAGAGACAGAGAGAGAGGCTCAGGGATGGTGGGGTGGGGCTGCCCCCTCGCCAAGCTCCCCCACTCTGAGCCTGGAAACATGGGCAGGAGTCGCGGGCATCTCTGGAAAAGGTGGATGGGTGTCCTGTCTGCGGTTCTGGCCCAGGACAAACAAACCGCCCTCTGGGCGTGGCCGGGGCTAGAGGCACGTTTTCCAGTGGCTCTTGGCAGAGCCTGAATCAGGGACTCAGTGCGCTGGGTGGGGAAACTGAGGTCCCAAAGGCCCAGCCCTTTAGCCAGAACACCTCTTCCAGTCCTGTTGTCTCCACGCCAAAGCTCCACCTTGTCCCCTACTCCAGGCCTCAGTTTCCCCACATGGCCGAGGTGGATGCTCCTGCTCCAGCCTGTGGCCTTGCTATCCCACCAGGTGTTCCCTTTGCCTGCCCTCTCCCGGAAGCAGAGGACCGTGCTGGTTGTGTGCGGCCCAGAGCACAATGGGGCGGTGGGGCTGGTCTGTGCCCGGCACCTGCGGGTGTTTGTAAGTAGCAGGGACCCCCGGGCTCACCCTGACTGCATCCGGAAGAAACCACAGCCTGGCCTTGCTAGAGTCCCAGGGGACAGGGACGTGGCCTGCCCAGGTGGGTCTGCTGCCTGTTCCCTGGCGGGACCCGCGCTGCGCTCCCCTCTCCCGCCCCAGGAGTATGAGCCCACCATCTTCTACCCCACGCGCTCGCTGGACCTGCTGCACCGCGACCTGACCACACAGTGTGAGAAGATGGACATCCCCTTCCTGTCCTACCTGCCCGCCGAGGTCTGCTGCAGGCTGGGGGTGGGGGGTGGGACAGGGCCCTCGTGGCTCCCAGGCCGCCCTGAGCACACCTGCCCCCAGGTGCAGCTCATCAACGACGCCTACGGGCTGGTGGTGGACGCCGTGCTGGGCCCAGGCGTGGAGCCCGCTGCGGTTGGGGGGCCCTGCACCCGCGCGCTGGCCACACTGAAGTTGCTCTCCATCCCCCTCGTGAGCCTGGACATCCCCTCAGGCACGTGGCGTGGCGTGGCGTGGGCGTGGGTGGGCGCCGGGGGAAGCCCCTGGCTGACTGCCCGCTCTGAGCCTCAGTTTTCCCTTCCCGGCGGGGGCGGGGATGGAGCGTGCTCTCCAGCTGAGCCCCTGGTCACACCCATCCCGAGAATGGGAACGACCGAGGCTGCTGCCCCAGGTGACCCCAGCCCCTTTCCCAGGCCCGGCCCAGCATGCTGCTGCCTACCCCTGGCCTTCTGGCCCGGGCAGACGTGAGCTCACTTGGCAGAGGCCGGGCGTCCTGGCCGGCGCCCTGGGCCTGCTGGAGCCATTAGGGACGGGCAGACAGGATAAACAGCGGCTGGCCAGGACCCTCTGTGAGGGCAGCTGCCCTCCGGGGGGTGTCCCCTGGCCTTCAGGATCCCGGGGCAACCCCAGCCGGGCTCCACAGGGAAGGGGGCACAGACTCGGGTCTGAGCAGGTGGCTGCCATCAGGTGGCTGGAGCTTGAGTCTGAGGGTGGGAGCTGGGGTGGGCAGCCCCAGGTTCGGGGAGACTGAGTGGAGCTCATTCACTCGGGGACAGAGGCCCGTTGTTAGGGGTCCCGCTAAGTCAAAGGGGGCTCTGAGGCCAGGGAGGAGGCTGAGGTCTGGCCTCGAGGGAAGAGGCTGCCATTTAAGTGGGGCGCAGGGGTGGCAGAGATGCAGTCTGAGGGCAGAGGCTGGGTCCGAGGGAGGAGGGCTGTTGGGTAGTCTGAGGGCGGGCGGCGCCCCCGGGAGGGGAGGCCCGGCCCCCTGGTGGCCAGGTCCGGAAGGGCCCGGTGACTCAGGGCAGAGACTGGGTCTGGAGGGGCGATGGGGTGCAGGGTGGGGTGTGGCGCAGCCCCCAGCTCCGATTCCTGGTCCCCAGGCTGGGACGCCGAGACCGGCGGCGGGGACTCGGAGGACGGGCTGCGGCCGGACGTGCTGGTGTCGCTGGCGGCCCCCAAGCGCTGCGCCGGCCGCTTCTCCGGGCGCCACCACTTCGTGGCCGGCAGATTCGTGCCCGACGACGTGCGCCGCAAGTTCGCGCTGCGCCTGCCCGGCTACGCGGGCACTGACTGCGTCGCGGCGCTGTGACCGCCACCAATAAACAGATGCTACCACCTCGCTGCCTTGGCTCCTGCTCTGTGCTGGGTGGCTGGGGGTCGGACGCCACGCGGGACTTCCGGAGGCTTTGGGACGCCAGCGGCGCTCCCCTCAGGCAGCTGGGGACCCAGGGGGAGGATGGGCGGGGCGGGGGCTCCGTGCAGGTCACCAGGGGCGTGGCCACGAGGGCGGGGTCGGGTTGGATCCAGTCTTGGGCAGGCGGGGTCAAGACAAAGCCACGCCCCCCGCCCTCATTCCGGGTGCCACCAGACCCCCCAGTCGGGAGTCGGATCCGAGCGCGGCGCAGCTCGGACTCCCTGGGCCCCTCGGTCCAACCGGCGATGGCGTCACCGCTGCCGCTGTTCTGTCTCTGCGTCGCTGCCGCCTCGCACCTGGCGGGGGCCCGAGGTGAGGCCGGCCTGCGAGCCACACGCGGGGGGAGAGAGGACACAGGCACCACGCGCTTCCTGGGACTTGGGTCCCCTCCGACTCCTACGGTCCAGGGTGCAGAGGGAGCCACGGAGCTCAGCGATCTCCCGGGGCCAGGCAGGGACTGCGGCCGTTCCTTCCTCCCGGGAAGACGCGGCAGGGGCACTGGGGTGTTGATGGGAACTTGAGGTTTCTCTGCGTTCCCGGGCATCTGACCGAGCCTGTTTTGGAGACCCCGAATCGCCAGGTGTCCCGCCCAGGGGTCAGGGCCGTCCTGCCCACCAGCTCCCACGCACCCAAGACACCCCTGGAAGCAGCGCGGTGGGCTGGCGGTGGCCCGTTCCTCGGAGGAGACGAGGATTGGAGGAGAAAGGCTCTGGCCCGTGGTTGTCACCCTGCCCGGAGTCTCGGGAAGCGAGGCTGGACTCCAGGATTTCTTGTGGGCAACTTGGGCCCCGGGGGAGGCAGGGAAGGGTGGACTGGGAGGACTTCCAGGGCCAGGTGAACGGAGCAGATGCAGAGCCGGTCGAACTTGATAAGCTTGGGGCCGCTGGACACCCCAAAAAAGAGACGCGGGTGTGGGGACAGTGAGGACACGGACTCCCCCAGCCCATGGGGTTGGGTCTGAGGAGCGATGGGGCTGCGGAAGCCTGGGGCTGGGGCTGGCAGGGGCCTCGTAGAGCTTCAGTTTCCTCTCCTGTCAAGTGGGCGTGACCTTGGCCTCCCTCCGGCACCAGAGGGCGTCACCGCGGTCCCCATCATCCCGCTTCTTCCCCCTCCTTCCCACCCCTCCTGCAGATGCTCAGGAGCCCACCGCAGCTGCCTGGGGCCTGCAGGGACGCACGCTGCACCCAGGCCAGCCCTCGCCGGCCCTGGAGGACTGGGAAGGTTGGTGCGCCAGGGCGGGGCCCTCTCGGCTGTGGATTGGCAGGAACTCCGCCTGGGGGTAGGGTTGGGGGCGGGGCGGGAGGGAGGCCGCTCCCGCTAGGTGAGGAGCTGGATGGGGCGTGCCCTGCTCCTGGGACCTCCCGGGGCGCGCCCCGTCTCAGTGCGAGGTGCCCACAGAGCCCAGCGAGTGGACGTCCTGGTTCAACGTGGACCACCCAGGCGGAGACGGAGACTTCGAGAGCCTGGCCGCCATCCGCTTCTACTACGGGCCCGCGCGCGTGTGCTCGCGGCCGCTGGCGTTGGAGGCGCGCACCACGGACTGGGCGCTGCCGTCGGCGGTGGGCGAGCGTGTGCACTTGAACCCCACACGCGGCTTCTGGTGCCTCAACCGAGAGCAGCCGCGCGGCCGCCGCTGTTCCAATTACCACGTGCGCTTCCGCTGCCCCCTCGGTGAGGGGCTTGTGGGCGTGGTTTCGAGGGGTGTGTCCTTTAGACGACCAAGGCCGGGGTTGTGCTGGGGAGTGGCGTTTGGGGGCGGGGCTTTGGGAGGGGCTTCTAGGGGCGGGGCTTTATGCATGTGGCCTTTAGTGGGTCCCTGCAGTGGCAATGTCCCCAGCAGGAAAGGTGCCTGGAGAGGACAGCAGCCTCATATCTCTTGTCCTCTGCAGTGGTCACGTGGAACGCTTCGGAGGCATTGGGTCCCTGCTCCGGGAGCTGTGGACCAGGCGGTCGCCGCGGCTGCCCAGGCCGGGGTAGGGGCGCGTGTCCAGGGCTCCGCCAGGAGGCGCAGAAGTGCGGGAGGCCTCTGTGCCCAGGTAGGAAGGGCGGGGCCTAGGGAGGGGGTGGGCGTGTCCTGCGTGGAGAGGTGTGGCCTGGAAGCAAGTGGGGCGAGGCCTTGGAGGAAGCCTCCCGGAGGAGGCGTGGGGATGGCGGAGGTGGGGGTCAAGCAGGGCAGGGGTTGGAGAGAAGATGGGCCTGGAAGTGGGGAGCCAGAGTGCAGGGCGAGGCCCTGTGCACATCTGGGTGGCCTGGGGCTGGCAGGAAGCCAGGGTCGGATGTTGGGTCCCCTTCCCTGGGGGCGTGGCCAAGGTGGCAGAGTCCCCGGCACGAATTCGGTTCTAGTCTCGAGGTGCACGCGCAGCACGGCTCCCCACCCCCATGCCCACGCAGACACCGCTCACACCCTGGCGGCCGGTGCCCAGGCCTCCCGGACAGACGCCAGGCGGCAACTGGAAACTCCGCCCGACCAGGCTCCACAAACACGGCCTGCAGACTTCATGGAGTCCCGGAGTGGGGGGGGACGGTACTCGGTGGCCAATGGGGGGACCCCACCCCTCACTCTGCCCTCCAGGCGCCTCTGCCCACAAGTTTCCAGTGGAAGTTTCCATCTTCTGCAGAGGCCGCCGGATGGGGAGGGGAGAGAGCCACAGTCGGCCCCAACGGCTGACGGACCTACTCAGTGCTACTCCTTGCTTTCTGTGGCTCCATCCTTTTGAGACACCTCTCCTGTCCCCTCCTCCAGGGCGCCTTCCCTCTCTTTCTGGACCGAGTTCCCTCCTCCTGCCACTCATTTCCATCTCCCCCTACACAGGTGTGGCTGAGGCCTGAGAGGGGCACAATATGAGAGGGGCAGTGCTCCAGGTGTGTTTGTTGAGTGACTAACTGAGCGAAAAGCCCTCTTCAGGAGGGACTATAGAGACCTCTCTGCCCCTGTATTCCTCCAGGATGCAGTCCTGACACCTGTGGGTGCCCTGACCACATCCTCCTGGGGTCCGTGGTCACCTCATCGGGGCGCCCGCTGTCAGGAGCCAGGGTCTCCCTGCAGACTCAGCCTGGCACCATTGCCACCAGCGATGCCCATGGAGCCTTCCGGGTGCCTGGCATCTGTGCCGGAAGCCGGGCTAATGTGAGTGCCCAGATGGATGGCTTCTCTCCGGGGCTGGCCCAGGCTCGCGACAATGGCTCTAGTTCTTTGGTGGCCACCATTGTTCTGGATAAGCTAAGTAAGTGTCCAGCAGAGCAGGAGGAGGCCAAGGGCTGGGAGGGACGCGTAGGGTGAGGAATGGAGGCCACGGGGAAGGAGCCACCGCAGCTGGGGAGGGCAGAGGCTGTGCAGGTCCTGCCCGGGAGAAGGCAGGGTTCCCAAGAGACGCTGGGGGGGGCAGGGTCCTGACCTGTGTCACTGTTGCCCACCAGAGAAGCCCTACCTGGTGAAGCACCCAGAGTCGCGTGTGCGAGAGGCCGGACACAACGTGACCTTCTGCTGCAGGGCTGCAGGGACACCCGTGCCCAAGAAATACTCGTGGTAAGCATCGGCCCGGCTCCAGAAAGGGGCCTTTTTCCAGCTTTGGGTTGGATTGGATTTCCTGTGGTTATGCGGTGCCTCAAGGACCTAGAACTGGAGGTGGTGGTGTACATCTGTCATCCCAACTACTCAGGAGGCTGAGGCGGGAGAATTTCAAGCTCAAGATCATCCCAAGTAACTTAGTGAGACCATTTCAAAAAATTTAAAAAATAGGGTAGGGCCGGGGATTTAGCTCAGTGGTTTCACCACCTGCCGTGCAAGCGCAAGGACCCAAGTTCGATCCCTGGTACCAAAAAGAAAAGAAAAGAAAAGAAAAAATTTAAAAAACAAAAGGAAAGACCTAGAAGCAGATGCTGGGCTCAGTTTCCCCCCTGGCATGTGGGAGAGCTTTGCCCAGGGATCAAGTGGGCCTCAGAGGGGCCCATCTCCCCAGGAGGAGGCCACCCTGGGGAAGCTGCTGTCCTGGGCTCACACCCTGGTCCCTATGGTGTCCCTCACCCCAGGTTCCACAATGGGACGCTGCTGGACCGGCAGCAGCATGGGTCTGGCACCCACCTGGAGCTGCATGGGCTGCGTGCGGAACAGGCGGGCCTCTACCACTGCAAGGCATGGAGCAAGGCGGGCACTGTGCGCTCTGGCCCTGCCCGGCTCACTGTGCTGGGTGAGCATCCCTGACCCTGAGCTCCAGTGAACTCCAGCTTGGAACGGATTTCATTCCCTGGGCCCCAAACCCCAGTCCTAGCCCCAGCCGATCCCCCATCCCCATATGGACCAAGCCCCCAGCCTCGGTCTCACTGACTGCTGTCTTCCGGCTCCCCAGCCCCTGGCCAGCCAACGTGTGACCCCCAGCCCCAAGAGCACCTCATCAAACTGCCCGAAGGCTGCGGCAGGCAGGGCAGCAGCGGCCCTGCCTACCTAGACGTGGGTCTCTGCCCAGACACCCGCTGCCCAGGCCCCACAGGCTCCGTCACCAGCTGTGGGGAAGTAGGCTCGAGCTGCTGTGCCGTGCGCCGCCTGGAGAGCCGGGAGATCCGCTGTGCTGGCTACGTCCTGCCAGTGAAGGTGGTGGCCGAGTGTGGGTGCCAGAAGTGCCTGCCCCCACGGGGGCTTGTCCGGGGCCGCCTGGTGGCTGCGGACTCCCAGGAGCCCTTGAGCTTTGCCAGGATCCTCCTGGGCCCAGAGTCCATTGGCTTTACCTCCTACCAGGGCGACTTCACCATCGAGGTGCCGCCCTCCACAGAGCGGCTGGTGGTGACATTTGTGGACCCCCGCGGCGAGTTTGTGGATACCGTCCGAGTGCTGCCTTTTGACCCCCAAGGCACGGGCGTGTACCACGAGGTCAGGGCCATGCGGAAGAAGCCGGCTGCCCTGCTGAACACCAGGCAGAGCAACAGGATCCCGCTTGGGGACCTCGAGGGAGAGGCGCCCATCGGGGAGCTGGTGCTGCCGCCTGGATCCATCCGGGCTCCTGACGGCAGCCCCTACACAGGGAGCGTGGAAGCCCAGGTGACCTTCGTGGACCCCAGAGACCTGGCCTCCGCGGTGGCGGCCCCCAGTGACCTGCGCTTTGTGGACCGTGACGGTGACCTGGCCCCGCTGCGCACCTATGGGATGTTCTCCGTGGACCTGCACGCACCGGGCTCCACAGAGCAGCTGCACGCTGGGCCCGTGGTCGTGCGGGTGGCCGCTGACCAGATCCGCATGGCTGGCCACGCCAAGGCCCTCCGGCTGTGGTCCCTGGAGCCCGAGACTGGCCTGTGGGAGGAGGAGAGCAGCTTCAGGCGCCAGAGCTCCACGGGCCCCCGCGTGCGCCGCGAAGAGCGTGTGTTTCTGGCGGGCAACCTGGAGATCCGTGAGCGGCGGCTGTTCAACCTGGACGTGCCTGAGCGCCGCCGCTGCTTTGTGAAGGTCCGTGCCTTTGCCAATGACAAGTTCGTGGCCAGTGAGCAGGTGGAGGGTGTGGTGGTGACGCTCGTGAACCTGGAGCCCGCGCCCGGCTTCTCTGCCAACCCACGCGCCTGGGGCCGCTTTGACAGCGCGGTCACCGGGCCCAATGGCGCCTGCCTCCCCGCCTTCTGCGATGAGGACCGGCCTGACGCCTACACAGCGCTGGTCACCGCCACCCTGGGTGGTGAGGAGCTGGAGCCCGCACCCTCAGGACCCCGGCTGCTCCCGGCCACTGTGGGTGTCACGCAGCCCTACCTGGACCGGCTGGGCTACCAGCGCACCGACCACGACGACCTGGCCTTCAAACGCACAGGCTTCCGCATCAACCTGGCCAAGCCCAGGCCTGGGGACCCCAACGAGGCCAATGGCCCTGTGTACCCATGGCGCAGCCTGCGAGACTGCCAGGACGCCCCGGTCACTGCCAGCCATTTCCGCTTCTCACGCGTGGAGTCGGACAAGTATGAGTACAACGTGGTCCCCTTCCGGGAGGGCTCGCCCGCCTCCTGGACCGGCGACCTCCTGTCCTGGTGGCCCAACCCACAGGAGTTCCGCGCCTGCTACCTCAAGGTGAAGGTCCAGGGCCCCCAGGAGGTGGTGGTACGATCACATAACGTGGGCGGCAGCCACCCCCGCACCCAGGGACAGCTCTACGGCCTTCGGGACGCCCGCAGTGTGCGCGACCCCCAGCGGCCCAGCACCTCGGCCGCCTGCGTGGAGTTCAAGTGTGGCGGGATGCTATTCGACCAGCGGCAGGTGGACAGGACGCTGGTGACCATCGCCCCCCAGGGCAGCTGCCGGCGCGTGGCTGTCAACGGGCTCCTGCAGGACTACCTGGCCCGGCACCCCCCGCCCGCACCCACCGACGACCCGGCTGCCTTCGCCATGCTGGCACCCCTGGACCCCCTGGGTCACAACTATGGTGTCTACACGGTCACGGACCAGAGCCCGAGGCTGGCCAAGGAGATTGCCATCGGCCGCTGCTTCGATGGCTCCTCCGATGGCTTCTCCAGGGAGATGAAGGCCGACGCAGGCACAGCTGTCACCTTCCAGTGCCGCGAGCCACCGGCCAGGCCCAGTCTGTTCCAGAGGCTGCTGGAGTCCCCGGCAGCAGTGCTGGGGGATATCCGCAGGGAGATGGGCCGGGCTCGGCCCCTGGGTGTCCCCCGCCGGCGCCGGGGCCAGTGACCCGGGAGCTGCGAGCTCACGGCCCAGCTCCATCCCTGGAAGTCTCAGGCCTTCCTCCCCAGACATCCCCTCCCCAGGTCCCCAGGGCTCCAGCTCAGATCTGAGAGTCAGGACAAAAGCTAGGCCCATGGCGGGCCAGGAATGGCGTAGGCTTGGAGGTGGGGAGCAGGGGACAGCTGTCCAGGGCCTGGGCACTGGTGCCTGCTCACCGCTGAGGCAGCCCTCTGTCGCTGCGTGTCCACCTGGATTCCAGATCCCTGCCCCGAGCTTTGTTCTGGGGTTATTTATTGAAATAAAGCTGGGGGCTGGTTGTGGTGCGCGTGGGGTCCGGGCTGGGCCCAGTGACAGAGGAGGAGGCTTCTTGGGATCCCCATGCGGGAACGGCCTGGGGCTGAGAGGACCACGCTCCTGTGTTTGGTGCTTGGAGATGCTGGGGTGTCAGGGCTGGGCTGGGCTGGGGGCTCGATTAAAGATGCTTTGTGTCTGCCCTGCAGTGTCAGCACTGAGGCTTGGGGATGTGGCGGGGCAGCCCAGGCCTCGGACAGAAGCGCATCTTTTTGTTTGTTTGTTTTTTGTTTTTTGAGACGAGACTTGCTATGCAGTGCAGGCTGGCCTTGAACTCACTATGTAGCCCGGGCTGGCCTCAAACTTGTGGTGATCCTCCTGCCTCAGCCTCCTAAGTGCTGGGATGACAGGTTTACTCCGCCATGCCTGGCACAGGCAGAAACACATCTGAACCCTGTGGGACACGAGTGCACACAGCACAAGCCCCCATGTGGCCAGGGGCCTTGTGTGTCAGGCCCTAGCGCTGAGGACGGTGGCAGCTGGAGGGTCCTGGCGGGATGGGCCTGGGACAGGGAGCAGCTGGAGAGGCCACCCTGCAAGTCCTCAGCAGGGCCTCACCGGACCACATGCTGCCCAAGCCACTAAGTCCAGGGCCAGGCTCTAGGACCTGGGTGGGAACCAGGGTTTGGAGGTGGCAGAGGGGCCAGGCAAATCTTCCTGTCACCCATGGGCCAGCCACTGCTCTGACTGCGACCCCACTTTCAGGCAGCAGTCCCAGCAGGAGGGGCGCTCCCTGGGTGACCCCAAAGTCTCAACCCCCGGCAGGCAGCAGGGGCCTGAGAGCATCAGTGTGCGCTGCTGGAGGAGACCACAGCCCCGGCCGCCCCGGAAGGGGCAGGGAAGGGGCGGCCCTCAGCCTGGGCCCCGCCCCTCCGGTCCCCGCCCTCGGGCCCGGCCACTCCCACCCTCGTTTTGGGCTCCACCTCCGCCCCAGCACCTTGCTGTCTGCAGAGGGCGCCCCGGGCTCTGGGGAATCCTCCTCGGGACAGCGAGGGACGCGCATTTGCGCAGCACGTGCTGTGTCCGCCGCGCTCTGGTCTGGCTGCCTGCTGGGGTCCCGCTACTGCGGCTCCAGCCCGGCGATGAGGTGTCAGGTTGCGCCGCCAGAGCCCGCGGAGGGTGTCGGGGCCTCAGCCGCAGCCAACCTGGGGGAATCCGGCAGCAGCGGGGCGGCTGCGGCCTGGACCCCTTCACTAGCCTGGGCCGGGGTCGGGGCAGCCATGACAGCGGTTCTCATCCGGGCACTCCGGGAGGCTGAGGCAGGAGGATTGTGAGTTCCAGCCCAGCCTGGGGAACTTAGGGAGGCCCTGTCTCAAAATAAAAACTAGAAAGGGCCGGGGATGGAGCGGAGTGTGAAGGCCCTGGATTCCAACCCCAGCACTGCAAGAAAGAGGGAAAAAAAGAAAAAGAAAATGGCAGCCATGGCTCCCACCTTCCAGAAGGAGAAACTGAGGCTTGCAGAGGCGAAGGCACTGTCTTGAGCCCACGGCCGGGCCTGGCTGCTCCCTGAACCATGAGGCCGCTGCCTCCCTCCTGGAACTCAGCCAGAGCTTCTGGAAAATCCATTCCCCTCAGCACCAGGCTGCCAGCACACTCCCTGCTGCTGGGGAGGTGGGGGGCTGAGACCCCCCCCCCCGAGACCCTGGCCGCAGCCACCCGGGGTCGGCTCAGGGCACAGGAGGCCCTGGGTCCCGCCCATGGCATTTTCAACTTTTATAATTTTAGAACCAGGGGTTCTTAAAATTCCTAACACCGTGCTGGAGGGAGGAATCTTGGAACAAGAAAATGCTTCAAGCAGGAGTCTGAAAACCGCAGAGGCTGAGGGGAGGAAGGGAAAAACACACACATTGGGCACCGACTGGATGCAGCCCCCCGCCCTGCCCCAGACCTAAAGCATGTGAAGGGTGCTTAATGTCTGTTTATTGCCTTGAGACTCCAACATGTGATTTCAGGGAGAATATGGCCCCCCACACAGCTAAAAGATTGGCTGTGGGTCACACAGCAAACGTGGATACCACATTTTTCAGTTTCCTGGAGAAGGAGGCAGGGGCATTGGGTTTTGAAGGATGTGTAGGAGTTTGCCGGGTGGGCAAGGCAAGAAGGGCTCATCATGCAAAGGTTGGAGGGGGAAACCCAGGCAGGAGAGGGAGGTGACAGGTCTTGACAGCAGCCAGAGGAATTGCGGTGGCAATGGGGAGCCATGGCAGGTGCTGGAGCAGGAGAGGTTACAGTTTCTCAGGACAAGTGACCCCTGGGGTGTGTGTGTCCTCAGCATGTTAGAAGCATTTCCTTCATGGAGCCGGGGTCTGTCCTCCCTCGTGATGGCCCCGAAGCCCAGCACCTCCTGTCCTGGCTGAACATCCCTGGCTGCTCTGCTGGCCCGCGTGGGTTGGCGTGGCCACCCACCGCTTCCCTACTGCCTGTCTCGCTCATCAGCCACACAGTCGGGGCTGCCGAGTCCCAGACCCCAAGTCTGGAGCCAGCCTCGCTCAGCCTGGCCCAGGCGGTAGGAGACGCCGGCGCCTTGCTGGTGGAAACACAGGTGGGTGCCCAGGGACGGCACCCAGGGGACTGCGAGGTCCTGACCCCTGACTCTCAGCGGGACATACGCCGCCAGGGATGCGTCACCGAGCTCGGGCGGGCGTCCTCAGCCCCAGGTCACGGAGTCCGGCCATGCCCTGTGCCTGCCCCTGCAGCTGGAGGTCTCCTCCTTCCCATCCCGCCACTTCTTGTCACCCCGGGGGGCACATGTGCGCGGTCACACTTGCACAGTGCACAACATAGACACCCTGCCCCGCAGCCACACTGGGACCAGTGTCCCCTAGTCCCCTGCACATTGGGATCTCCTTGACCCTCGATGTCCAGGCAGCTGGGTCAGGGCCGATTTCAGCGCCCCCAGACCCCACAGTGCAGCCCCCCTAAGCGCATCTGTTCACAGCTGGGTGCACGCACACCCGGGGACTGGAGGGGCCGACGGAGCCTTAGGTCCGCGCTCTTCCAGGGAGTTCCGACTCCCTTCCTGCGCTGACTCAGCCAGCTTCCCTGCCAAACCTCAGGTATGTCCTCGAGGGCTGCCGAGGGGCCTCCTCGGGGCCGGGTGGGGGCTCTGCCTGGCTCAGCCTCCCCCGCTCGTGGCCCGGGCCCCCGCGAGCCAAGCCGGAGGTGTTCGGGTGCAGCACGAGGTCAGCCGGGAATCAGCCCGACCCAGGAGCCCTTCCCGCCCTCTGCGGCTACCTGGAGAGTGGCCGGCTGGAGCGCGCTTAGTGGCTTGCGTGAAGTGAAGACGCCGCGCGTCTGGCGGGGCTGCCCCGGGGCCTGGCAGGGGACGCACGCACCTAGGGGGTACAGTGACCCCCGGGTCAGATTCCCGCCCACCTCCGTATGCAGATTTGATTAAAGGCGGTTCGGCTGGGTCAGGAGGGTAAGACAGCCAGGTGTGGATACTCCAGCCTGCAGGGTCAACATCGGGTCGGTGAGAAGCTTTCCTAGAGGAGAGGGCATTTTGGTGGGGGTTTGAAGGGTGAGCAGAAGCCCGCCAAGGCAGGCTCAGCTGTCCCAAAGCTCTGGTACTGGTTGTAGAGTTTTCCTTTTGTCTGTGTGAATTTCGAGCAGTGGAAGGAGGCAGAGAAACCTCAATTCACTCCTTTGTCTTGAGGACCCAGTTGTAGGCCCCGGGGACCATTCAGTGTGCCGGGGGAGGCAGAGCCGGTCTCACCAGGGGGTTAGAGAGACCCCAGGCCTGGGAGGCACCTGCTCTGCTCTGGACCCGGTGGATCCTGCCAACAGCCCTTTAAAGCGAGTTCGAGTTCTCCTATTACCAACCCTTTTTTGGAGACAGGGTCTCCATATGCAATTCAGGCTGGCCTTGATCTCTCTGTGGGTGATGCTCCTGCCTCAGCCTCCTGAGTGCTGGGATTACACGTGTGTATCACCACACCCGACGTGGCTGGGCAGACCAAGGCTGAGAGAGGGAAGCAGAGTCCCGCTGCTCTCAATGCGACTCCTCGCTGAGGGCTGATGGCTGGCGGCTGGGCCCCGCTGACAGAAAACCTCGCCCACAGCCTTGGCGCGGGTCAGGGCTGCACCTGAGGTCCCGTGCGGCGGTGGCAGCCCCAGATCCTGCGTGGGTGTGACACACCGGGCCCCCTGGAGCCCTAGCGGGACCTCCGGGCAGAGGGGCGTCGCCCGGGCCCTGGTGTGGTCCCGCCCCGCCGTCTGAGCAGCCAGAGGCGGAATGTGGCTTGCGGTCAGAACCAGACGGAGAGGCCCCTGGAAAAACACCCAGCGCTCCGCCAGGCCCCGGGCGCGATCGGCCAGCAGCGGCTGCCCAGCCCGGGCCGAGGAATGTCCGCGCTCGGCCTCTGGAACCTGCTGCCGGACCTGGCGGCCAGCCCCGGGTGGTGCCACCATGCCCCTGGCCAGGCAACGTGTGACCGGCCTCCTGGGGTGTCCCTGGGGAGCCGGGGCTCTGGCTTGGGCCCGGCCCGGCCACTGCAGAAGAACCCTCGTCGGCTTGCCCACCTCTGGCGACGGGGAGCTCATCCCCTCACAGGAAGTCCTGACTCCTGGGCCATGAGGAGGGGACGTCAGCGCGCCCTTCCCCAGGCTCCTGTCCACCCCTGGGCCGCGGGGTGGTCCCTTGGGCTCAGCATGGCCCCGAGGGTCCCACCCCGAAGGGGAGAAGATGCACCGTGAAGCACCTGCAGAACCCTAAGGTGTTGTCCTTGCATCTGCTTGCCGTGCTCCTCGGTTCCACTTTCGTCCCATTTTGCAGACAGGGAAACTGAAGCGCACAGGGTTTCCTTCCTCACCCGAGGCTGCAGGGGCAGCAGATTCGGGAAGTAGGAGCCAGTTCCCTGTGGGGTGTGGGGACAGGGGCTCCGGGGACCTGGGTTTCAGCGGGGTGCGGCCCCTGGTTACCACAGGGTGCATTGCAGGCTGGACTACGCAGCCACCCTGGCTTCTTCCGGCCCACGCCGACCCTCGCCCCTTCCGCCGAAGCAGAGAGGCCGTGAGGCCCCGCTGAGCCACCAGGGAGGCCCTGAGTGCAAAGCTTGGCCACTGTGGTCTCCACTCGAGCCTCAGTTTACCCAGCTGTGGACTAAGGCTGGCATGCAGTTGGCTCCCAATAACTGCGATTCCCTCAGGAGCAGGCAGGAGGGG